ATTGCTCCCAAATGATTCACCCTTGTGTTTCTCTGGTGACTCATGAGCCAGGGCCGAGGGCTGCAGCACCTGTTACCTGTGGATGACTGGGGTGAGCCAGTGCCCCTCACTCTGTTCCCACTGGTCACTGTCCCAGTATGAGATGCCAGGTTCCAAGGGACCACTCCCTATCCTCTCCAGCAGCCACTCCCAGTCCCGTAACATGGTTATATTTTCCTATTGTTTGATTTAATGCACACATCCTTCCTCCTCTCAAAACCGCACCAGCCATTTGTTTACCTTTTAAAATTAGAGTAGATCTGAATTCATTTTGTTGCTGGCCTGGCTGTGTCTGGAGTCAGTCAAGGTGTCAGGAAGCTGGGACTGTGAGTTGAAGGCCTTTGCCTGAAGAAATAGCAATTCTGATCTCCTTGTCATCGTTATCATAACAGGTTTGTTTTGTTTTAACTGAATCCCCAGCTCTCAGTTCTAGAAGCCAACTGAGTTGCACCACATTCCAACCCCAATTCCCCGGGGAGAAAGTGCCAACTCGGCAAACTAGTTGGATATCCTCCTTGGTCCAATCCTTTGGGTCCCACCTATGGCCAGGAAGCTAGGGTCATGTAGCACAAAAGTGGGGCCCTAGATAGGGCACAGCTCCCCCAGACTGTGTCTGTGGGACAAGAATAGCATCTGGAGGAGAAGAGACATGGTTAAGTATCATGCTGCTCCACATAAGGTGACACTGAGATCACAGAAAAAGCACAAACTCGTGCATAACGTCAGCAGAAATGGCCACTGTGGTTCCCTGCAGATCCCTCCTCAAGGGCACACTCGACAGCTGCTTGACAGTCAGGTAAACCTGTCTCCTCAACACACACTCTGTCCTGCTGCCCCTCGGCTGGGTGACGTGGGGCCGAGGTAGGGTGAGCTTAGGAAAGTCAAGGGATGGGGCGGGGGGTGCAGCCCACTGCCACTCGGTCCTCACAGATGGGTGGGATTCAGCTGACCCTGGAGCTACTCCTCAATGGCTTTTTTTAGTTCGTAAAACTGGCATCTATTTGGGTTTCAAGAAAACATCTTCATCTCATCAGGTAATCTGAGTACACAACACAATCACATATGTGTATTTCCCAATATGATCTGGGATAAAAATATACCTAGTTTGGGGAGTTTTCTTGGGACCTCCCCCAGGCCTGTCCACTCCTGGAGGGATCCATGGGGGAAGAGACCACTGCTAGCATCCTGGGTCCCTGTAAGCATGTTCACGGTACTAAGTCCACAAGTTCCGGAGCATGAGAGGTCAAGCAGGTTGACATGGAATCCCACAGGGTAGGCAGCACAAGTGCGGTGGACAGTATCTCCTGAGCACTTGCCAACTACAGGGTTCTGACCTCCACACCAAGGATGAAGAGGAAGACATCGTCCTGTCTCCGGAAAGCAATCATCTGCACACACAGGAAAGACATGCGCAGGCTGGAAAGAGTATGAAGGTGGGGAATGTTTCTACATGGCCGAGTGACCTAGTCACTGTGTCTCTGAGGAGCTGTGTGGAGACAGAGGGCAGTCCTTCAGAGGTTTGGGGTCTTCAAGGAGCTGAAAGAACAGGGCAGCAGCGAGGATGGAGGTGAAGGTCATAGTTGGGACCCTAGAGTGTAGGATTTACAGATGTGAATGGAGGAGAAAAGTTCAGAAATAGATCAGAAATTCAAGGTCTTGGATGGCAGGCAAAGAGAACAGATATTATCCCATAAGAAATGGGCACTGAAGATTTTCAAGTAAGGGGATGAGTTGGAGAGGAAAGTAGTTGCTAGGGATGGAATATCTGGAAGTGGTGTGCACGTGGGTTCCAGGCTTGAGTAGAAACTACTGGAGCTGAGAGGAATGGTCAGAAGCTATGACAGGTAATTCAGGATCCAGATGCTTAGCGCTTGGATTTGAGCCTAAATGGGGAGGTGGTGTCGGGAATAGACATTTGACATGTTATAAACGTTCCCTGGGACTTGCTAGCTCATTTGCCATGGGAAGAAGAGAGAAAATAACAAGCTTGTATGGTCAAGTAGTACCAGTGGTAGAAATAGGGAATATTTTCCACACCCACGCATCCATCAAGTGGCAGAAGTAAAAGGTAATCAATGAACTCCATGCAGCCTGCCCTTAAGGAATGCACATCCCTTTCTCTTACCCCCAGCTCTTCCAGGAAAGGGCCTAAGAGCCATCTAAGATACATCATGGTGGAGACGGCAGAAGTATAAAGAGGAAAGAAAATTGCACGCTGGTCCTGTAATCAGTACTTTACTCACATTCTGAGAAATCCTTAAAATAGCCCAAAGAGCTTTGGGAGAGGAGTGCGGGGCTTAGCTGCTAGAGAAGGGGCTCTGCGCTCTACAGCAATTCAGGTCTCCTCCTGCCTGCCTGGCACCAAGTGCATAGGCAGACAGATGGGCTGAAGATGCCCTTATGGGGAACATGGCCCGACCTTTGGCTAGAGATCCTCCTGTGCTCTGCCTGTCAGGAAATTGAGCAAGGGCAAGAACCTCTTGTCAGTATGTCAGGCAGAAAAGGGATTTAGGGGAACAGGTGGGGAGTTTATTTTTGGCTGTGTTGAGTTTGACAGGACAGTGAGGCCTCAGGGAGACAGGGAGATCTAAGCTTGGATGGGAGGTCAGGGCTTGAGTTCAAGGCTTGGGCTCAGCTGACAGAGACTGTGACTTGAGACCATTGTTCAAGTTCATTCTTCTTTAGAGCGAAGTTGACATTGGTTTCTCTCAGATTTGCATTCCCATATCAGCTGGCTTATCTGGTAGGAGTAATAAGATGGCAGATGAATGCTAATGAGAAAATGAATGGAAGAGGCATTTTATAATTAATCAAGTTGTGATTATCGATACTCGTTGAAGGAAAAAAAATACTATTTTTCCTGAACATGAAGGACAGGACCAGGTATTGGACATGAAGCTCATGTCCTTTCCCTTTTGTTTCTCCCTATTTTTCTTTTCTCTACTAATTAATTAATTTAGACTCTAGATGGAAACCAGTGTGATTTCTTCCAGGAAAGCCTCCATTAATTTGGATTTAGTCTTCTGATCCTCAAGGGCTGAGGCTGATTGAATGCTACACAGTCATTCACTGAAAAACAGTGAATTCTGGGGCTTCAGTGTTGATTACTCCCCTCAGTTTCCAAGAAGGAAGAGAATTAGGCCCCTACAAAATAGTAAAGGGGTATGAGGAAAGCCTAGAGCTTGTCCACATTGAAGATGTAGGTAGATGCTACTATGCATCTCTAAAATGAATATGTTGAAGCCTACCCTCTAAGGGCATGGTGTTAGAAGGTGAGGGGGGTACTTTGGGAGGTGATTAGGGCTCAAGGGCCGAACACACATGAATAGAATTAGTGCCCTTATAAAAGATATCTGCACACTCCCTTATTCCTGCCATGTGAGGACACAGCAAGAAGGTGCTGTCTATGAACCAAAAAATGGGCCCTCACCAGACACTGAATCTATGGGTGCTTTGACCTTCAGATTTTCCAGCTTGCAGAACTGTTAGAAACATCTATTGTTTATAAGTCACTTAGTTTATAGTATTCTGTTATAGTAACCCAGACTGACTAAGACAGCAGAGGAGCAGTAACAAAGAGAGACAAAAAAGGAGTTAGGGTTGGATAAAACGAGTCAAGAAAGTCAGGAATCCAAGGAGGAATGAGCACCAGGATAAAAAACAACAACTACATCTGAAGAGTAGAACCTCTCTTGCAAGCTACTAAACCTATAAACACTTGGGAACATTGCACTGTTTTGTAGGGCGGTGGTTTTATTAGGCCCATAAACTCTCTGATACCTTTTCCTTCAGTGTGGGCAAGTTGTAATGATAGAACATGACAGAAGTGGTGATGTAGGTTACTTCTGTGTCTAAGTCATAAAGACAGTGGCAAGAAACCGGGTCTGGAAAGTTCCCTGTGGTAGGCAGAATAATCTCCTCCAAAGATACCCATTTTAAAATTCCCTGAATCTGTGAATATGTTAGGCTACATAGCAAAGAGGAATTCAGGTTGCTAATCAGCTAATCTTAAAATAAGGAGAACATTCTGGATTGTCCACTTGGGCTCAACATAACCACACAAGTTCTCACAAGTGGAAGCAGGAGGCAGAAGAGTCAGGGTCAGAGTGGCCTGTCCATTGCTGGCTTTGAAGATGTGAGGGAGCCAGGAGGTAAGGAACTTGGGCAGCCTGTTGAGCTGGAAAAGGCAAGGAAGCAGAGTCTCCCGAGAGCCTCCAGAAAGAATGCAGCCCTGCTGATACTTTGATTTTTAGCCCAGAGAGATCCATTTCTTATAGTCTTATACCATCAAGTTGTGGTAATCTGTTGCAGCAACAATAAGTAACAAATATAGGGCTATACCTACCCTTGTCCTGTTCCCCATATCTGATCCATTTTTGCTCTCATTACGTGCTTTAGTATTTGTACTTATTGACAGTGTATATTTTCATTATGTATTTTTGTCATCTGTCTTTTAAAACTATCAGCTCCTTGATAGTAAGCCTATGTTGTATTTTGGTTTTTGCTTTTCAAACATGTATCTGAAGCACCAAATACATTGCTCCTTCCATTAAGAATCTGACCAGTTACTTCTTGGACTGTCTAAAAGTGGAAGCAGCCAACTTAGCAAAGAGATAAAACAAGAAAAGAGCTGTAAAGAGTAAAACAAAATATGGAGTCCAATTTATTCATCCTCTGTTGAGCTGAAGCCAAAGAATCACACTGGTGCAGGATATCTTATTGAGATATTTTCTCCACCTCTTTCTTTCCTCTGATTTCCAGCTCTCAGGCAAGTTTTATCTTCCCTCAGTTAGGGCACTAGGGGAAGAGACAGAGGAGACAAGAGGAGGATAGGAGGTCACTGGCTCCTTCTCAATTTGTCAAGGCCTCAAAGGGATGCAACTCCTTTGGAAGGGAGCGAGACAGGAAAGCTTCAAGGGGTAAGGAAGGTGGGTCTCCAGAGCCAAGGAGGGTACCAAGTTCCCATGAGCAGCAGAGATCTGGGTGCTGCTTGAAGATAAGACCAGAGGGGAGCACTGCAGGTCAGACCAAGGCCTGGATGTTCCTTGAGTCACCTGTGAGGCCCAGGCCCCGTGCAGAGTGCAGGATCGGAGGAGGTGAGGCATAGAGGGTAGAGCAGTGGGGTGTATCCTGGGACATTTATGAACCATGTGGAATGGAGGGAGGCAGAGTGCGGGAGCCCTGTGATCCTAAGATGTCCCTTCTGACCAATTTTTCAGGACTGGAAGAGGTATTGGAATCGGAAATACGCTAATTTAGGACAAAACTACTAACACTCTGCACATCCCAATTTGGGGCGAGTATTCAAATGAGGACACTTCTTTTGGCTTTAAATGAAGATTTTTCATCTCAGGGTGGAGGCCTGGGTAGGAATGGTGTTAAAGAGGGTAGCAAATGCTTGTACAGCTCAAGGAGTGGGGAGAAGATGAACCAGAGCTGCTGGTAGATTCTGCGGCTGCACTAGGTTGGAAGCACATACTCCATCTCATCGGGGAAGAGGCACAGATACATCAGAAGGCAGCTCCAGATGCCAAGGGTGAAAACGATTCCTAGGCCTGGTGTGGAAGTTTCCTGCTAGGTGGGGAGAAAGGCAGGACCCTGAGGCTAGGCCAGGGCTGCAGCTGGTGGGGCACCCTCCCCACCAAGGGAACCTCTGGGGCGCAGCCTCAGGCTTGGCCACCCAAGTCCTCCTTCTGGTGCCACGTCCTCTACAACTGAGTGGTTGCGCTGAGTGGCAGAATGCATGACTATCCATACTCCCTGCACAACCACAGGTGGGGTTGGATGAGAAGGCAGCTGGAGCACACTCCCTTTGGGATAACAAGGCACCCACTGAGGTGAGGTACTTCTTGTATGGATCTACCTACCCCTGATTGTAGTTGGTCTTTAAGGCACACAATGTACGTTTCTCCTGCAGAGGACAGAAATGGTGCAAGAAAGATCATTTTTCCTTGGTCCAAGGTGGCCAACCTGCCGGGCACCTCATCAAGCCTTGCTATAGGAAAGGACAGAATAATACAGTGGGACTTGGGAGCAGGCACATCCAGGATCAAGTCCTACATGGTCATGGCTTAGGAGGATCCACAGGTATAGGAGGCAAGAGAGGTAAGGAAGAGCTCCAGCCTAGGGAGGCACCCAAGGGCCAGCAGTGGGGCAGTGCCAGCCCCTTTTACATCAGGAGCTCAGGGGAAGGTAGGGCACAGGAGCCAGGGCTCCAGCTCAGTACTGGGCTCAGACAAGGCTTCACTTACACAGCAGCTGCTACACTGATGAAGGGAATCCGGTGAGTCCTTTTTTGCTTTTGGTGATGCCATTGTCTTTTTGTGAAGAGGCCAGGGTGCTCTATTAGCTCTGTCCATTTTCTTGAGCTGGAGCTGTGGGTCTGTGTCAGCTCTTCCCACCAGCCTGAGGGGCTGCTGCTCCTTTGATCCTCTTCGAAGGGGCCCAGGGGTCAGGGAGAGGTAGAGAGTTGGGGAGACAATTTCTATCAGTGCACAGGTGGCCATGGTAGGCCTTGACTCCAAGCGACTGGGGCAGTAGGAGCCAAGACAGCTCCTCGAGGAGCCTGAATCTCTCAGGCATTCAGCAAAGAGAAGGAGGGAGACTTTAGGGATGAGGAGCAATGGCTCCAAGTTACACTTACAGTTTGTTGTCCTTCTGTATATTTAGTAAAATGTCCATCTTCTCATCCATATCCTTCTGCATTTCCTTCCAGAGAGAATTCAAGACTAGAACCTTCATTTTGAAGTTTTTGAAAATCTTTCTCTCTCTCTCTCTTTCTCTCTCTCTCTCTCTCTCTCTCACACACACACACACACACACACACACACACACTGCATCTTACTTCCTCAAGAATCTTAACTAGACATGGCTGAGGTGGCTGATGGAATATCCACCACATGGACCTATTCTCCCTCCAAGACACCTCCATTCCAACACAAGACCAAAGCACAGGCAGTCACTAGGGGACTTATCCAAAGTCTCTAGGTGAGTTAAAATCCAGACACTGATCCTGGATATGAAACACATAGCTGCTTTGGTTTGATGCCTATAAGATGATAGGAACAAGAAAACTAATGCACTTGATTCTTACATTTTGACCCTGACCTATGTTTTTGTTTGATCTATTTTTACCCATCCCTGGCAGAAATGGTCAACACAAAGTAAAAGTGACAGTTGCTATAGTGACATAGCACGCATTATTCACAAAGAACTGAAAGAATAAAAAAAATTATTGGCCAAAGTTAGTTCTATAGAATTTGACCTTGGGAAACTGGATAGAAATAGTGCACATGAAAAAAACTTCTAAGGTGGCAGAAGAAGGTATAACTGGTAATATTTGTTATAGGGAAAAACAGATCAATCATTATAAAATATAAGTGAAAATCATTTACTCCAAAAAAGTAATTTTTTATACAAAATGAAACAGCTGGAACCAGTTTAATCTGTTGAAGAAAACTGACCATGAAATTATACCCTTTGAGGAAAGATGATTTCAAATAATATTTTGAAAGCATTTTTAAATATTAGTATAAATTTCGAATCAAATATTTGTAGCTGCAGTGTCGAAATATCTTCAGGTCAAAATTCCCCTTAGTTCAAAAATGTCAACGTCAAAACGTCCCATGTTCGTACAATTCTTCCCCCTTCAAACTCATCATGCTTCAGACTGATTTCCTGTTCTCTTCTCTATTAGCTCTATTTCCCCTCTCACCCTGTGGTTGTCACCACTTCCTTCTAATCATCCAAATTAGGACTCTGGTGTCATCCTGGCTTGTCTCACTATATTGGCTTCATTCTCAGTATTGAATCTGTCACCAAGAACTGTTTCGTTTCCTTTCCAGTATTTTTCAGATTTACCCTTTCCTTCTTTCCTACCCTCGCCCACCTCTCTTCACCTGGGGCTGAGGCGGCCTGCCTGGTGTGCTTACTGCAGACAGTCCCTGCCTGCTCCCACCCCACCCAGGCCCCTTGCTGCCAGCTGATCCCAGCATCTTCTTTGATTAAGAATCCCCAGAGGCCTCTTGCTGCTTACGGAGCCAAGTCCCAGCTTGTGTGCTCTTTTCCAAAACCTTCATTGCCTGCTGACTGTGCCTAGTCAATTCTGTTTCTCACGGTTTCCCCAAATGATCCCACTTCATGACTAATCTCCCCACAGACTGGGAAACACAATTGACCGTCCTGCTTGCTGCTGTGTTCAAGCTGTCCACTGCCCAAAATAGCCTCCTTTGTGCCTTTCCACACCCAGCCCTGTTCGGTCACAAGATGCTTAAGGTGTCTGCATTTTAGTATGGAAATACTGCATGCCCTTTGTAGAAACATTTGAATAACACACAAGAATATATTTAAAAAGCAATCTTCTCATCCCTTTTGGTACATTTTTTCCCATATATTTACTTATCTACTTTTTTACCTAGTTGAGATTGGCCAGTATACGTTACTTATAACTTGCTTTCTTAGTTCTTACAGGCATTCTTTATAAACGCTGTCTTTAATAGTTCCTGATTTTCATTATATGGATATACTGAAGGACCCTAGTTAGCAAGACAGACTCCATATTGCTGCTTGACCCTCCTGCCTGCCCTTTAGATGAACTCAGAAGGAGGAAACTTAGAAACCTCCTCCCCTTAGAGAGTCTCTTAGAAGCAACAATTAATCAACTATTGTTTTACAAATGTTCTAACGACAGGGCGTTCCACTTCTGTACCTTTGCTTGCTTTGCTAGTTCTATCCCATAAGGGGGCCTAGAAACTGTTGGCCTCAAAGGTGTATAAAATACGTTAATCTCCGCCAGTCGGGACTGGAGGCCGATGCTCAGCTCGGTCCCGGCCTATAATAAACTCCTGTGTGGATTTAATATCGGTCTCTGGTTGGTTCTTTCTCGCTGGGTGCAACAATACCATAATTTATTTGGCTGTTCTGTTGTTGAAAATTATGGTTGTTTCCAAAATGTTATAAATAATCCAGTGCTGAACACTTTTTATATGTACTTGTGCTGGCATTTCCAATTGTTATCTAATTATTATTACTAAATGCCTAGTATCTAATAACATCCCAAGTTTGTACAAATTCGCACTCTTGTAGCAGTATAAGAGCATTTCTATCTCTTTACATAATTTTCATAAATTTAAAATTTGCTTATTTGAATATAACAATGATCATTTCGCCCACAAGCATTTGACTATTCATGAGGTAAAACCTTCTAAACATATTTATTGCTTTTTAGTTATATGTTCTTCTATGGATTCTGTTTATGCCCTTGCTCATTTTCCTATTTGGTTCTTGTTCATTTCTGTGAGCTATGTATGCTACGGATAAAAACCTTTTGACTATACTTACCAGTTCATAGAAAATTATTTCCCCAAGCCATTGTTTTAAAATTCTATGTGTGGTGAGTTTCGGTCTTTTTATTTATTTATTATTTATTTATTTATTGAGACGGGGTCTCACTGTGTAGTCCAAGCCAGCCTTGAACTCACTATGTATCCCAGGCTGTCCTTGAACTGGCGGCCATCCCCCAGCTCAACTTCCCAACTGCTAGCATTGCAGCATGCATCACCATGCCCAGCTTGTCATATTGCTTTTAAAAAACTTATAGTGTAACTTATTTATAGTTAAATATATCAATACTTTTTTGGTGATTTATTCTATTGTAGTTATATTAGAATCCAATTAAATTTTTACTTATAACTACTTATTGGTTCGTCTTAAATTCTCCTTTAGACTATTTCTGTTTACAGTGCTAACTGAACTGTTTTTTCCTCATGTAGGCAAGCAATGTTCTTAATATTAGTACATATTCCTCTCCTCACTGATATTTTTTAAATCACCTTTTATCATATTTAAATTTTTTTTTTCTGTACCGGGGATCAAACTCGGGTCCTTGTGGGGCAGGCGGTGGAACCACTGAGCTAAATCCCCAGACTATCATATTTTAAATTTTATAGAACTGTGAGTCTCTGCCTTGAGCATCTATTGGAATCACCTGGGCAATTTGAAAAACTACTGGTACTTTGACTTCATCCCCCAAATCCCCAAACTAATTGCTATAGGGTGCAGCTGGCTCTAAGGGGAAGAGGGGTTCAGAATCACTCTAAGGAGATCCTCACGTGCAGCCAAGTTGACTGCTGCTGATTAAGTGTGTAGGACCTGGTCTCAGCCCAGGGCAAACATTGAAATCACTTACAGAGTCTCGAGCAGCTCTGCTTCACCTGGGACAGTTTTCTTCTGTTCCTCGAGGCTGAATATTTGAAGTCCTTGCATGGGGCTCTCAGTGCATTCTTGGCAGAGAGGCTGTTACAGGGTTACCAGTTCCCATTCCTGCCTTTATCTGGTTATCTCTGGGCTCTACCACCCTGATTTGATAACTGTGGCTTTAACATGAATTTTAATTATCTAGTAAGGATAGCGCCTTGTTACAACTCTTGAAAAATGTGTAGCGGTTTGCTTTTACCTGTTTGTGCTTCTACATCAGTGGCTTTCAAACTTTTACCTGGGGAACTTGGCCAAAATACAAGGGCCCAATTTCCGTCTAAACATGAGCTTGGGATCCATTTTCTTTGTTAGTATTTTAGTTGATTCTGAAACACATTAAAAAGTTTATCAGCCACTGTTGTAGAATCCAGATTATCTTCTAGTATTTTTTGTTCTTTTGTTAAAAAATAACCTTTTTGAGTTTTTTTTTTATTAGATTTGCATTAAGCTTCCAATGTAATCTTCCAGGCTCAACTTGACTCAGTTTCTCTGTAAGGACTTCTCTTGTTATTCCAGCCCACATTCAATACTCAGGTCTAGATCCCTAATTAGCCAACAGCCTGCAATTCTGCTTGCAATTCTTTCTTGGAGTGGGTGTCTACCAGGTTATAAGCACCTAGAGGGCAGGGACTGGCATCTCTTTCATAGTTTCCAGTGTGATACTGACCACTGGAAGGCACTCAGTAGAATCTTACCTTCATAATTTCCACAAATTCATGAAGCTTATCAAAATCTTTGTCCATTATATCTTTTATCTAATGAGGAAGAAAAGTATGACTTGACAAAAGCACAGAGCATATTACTGAAGTCAGCTGTGGTTTCTTTAGGGTATTTTAAGCAAAGGGCAGCAGCTGTACCTCTGGAATGGACTAACAAGGTCTTATTAAAGTTACTTTCTTTCCAAGGAGTCTACCAAGGCACTAGAATGCATTTAGTGTCAGGTCGCTCCATTCCTACCTAGCCTTTGCATAGCTTAGTTGTGGCTATAGGAAGGCTTACATATGGAGCTCAGATCACAGCTTCAATAACTCCTTCTTGCTTTGATTATTCCCTCATTCCCAAAATAGGCCACAGGTAATTGTGTCATAGAAACAAGAGATCCTGCCATGCAGCTCACCACAGGGAGGTGAGTGAGGAGGATGCAGTTGGCTCCTGATAGCCCCCATATTCCATGTCAACCCCTCACTCGGCTTTATCACTGAGGTTACATCATGCCAACCATTAACACCCCAGCCAGTGATGGTGAACCTTTTCAAGCTTTCAATGATACAAACAGCCCATTGTGGCATTGGTTTACCACCACTGCCCTAGGCCGAAGGGAATTTTTGATCATTCAACAACTGGGTTTAGGCATCAAACAAGAAATGGGTATTTTGAAGTGCCTAATACATAAGCCCCCTAGGGAGTTAAGTCAATTTGCTTTCTCTATGCAATTGTGCATTTCTTTCACTTTTCAAAGTTAGGAATTGCATTTTTTGAAGCTATACTTTCTCTATATGTTATATAAAACTTTATTCTGTTACCTGTTTTATCTCCTCCATTTTTTCCTTGAGTTCTTCTCTCACCTCCCTGAGTTCATTCTGAGAAAATGAAATGAGGGACAGAGGGAGTTAACAAAAATCTTGGATGGAAGGGAAATTTTCATGGGAGGAAAGGGCAGATCCTGAAGGCACTGACAAAAGAGGAACAGAGGGAAACTTCCATAAGGAGGAGAGAAGGATGCTAAGACCAAGGGATTAGAAGACCTGCAGATACCACCTCCTACTGGGGTGCATGGGAAAGAGCACATCATCACTTCTTTGGAAGGCCTGCCCCAAATCCACAGCCCGAAACATCAGTCAAACCCAAATTAGGGGTCATTCAGCAAATATAAATGGTCCACAATCCTCAAAAATGTCCTGAACAGACAAAGGGTGAAAAAAATAAGTCCAGATTAAAGAAGAATGAAGAAATACAGCAGTTAGAAGCAATGCGCCATCCTGGTTTAGCTACTGGGCCAGGAACATGGTTTTTAACTAAACAACATCAGTGGCACAATTGGTGAAATGAGAATAAAGTCTACAGACTAGTACTGTATTCATGTTAATGTCCTGATGTTGAAAATTCTACTGTAGATTTGTAAGAGAAAGTTCTTGTTTTTAGGAAATACATGCAGAACACTGGTAAAAATGTACTCTCAAATAGTTCAAAATATATATACAGTCATCCTTTGGTATCCATGAAGGATTGGTTTTGTGGTCCCTCATGATGTGGATCAGAAGAGACACCCAGGAAGGGGAGATACAGACTTAACACCTACCCAGTGTCCGGAAAGGACAGCTTGGAATAGGAAGTCATACGCAGCTAGCTGCCCCTCAGTATCTGAGTGGATTGGTTCGGGGACTGCTGCAATACTCAAATTGGCAGATGTTCACATCCCGTATGTAAATGGTGTAACATTTGCATATAACCTATGCATATCCTCTCATGTACTTTAAATCATTTCTAGATCACTTATACCTGGTACATTGTAAATGCTACTAGGTAAATAGCTGTTATACTGCATTGCATAAAGAATAAGAAAAAAGTCTATACATATTTAGACACCATTTTCAGTACAGACACAAAATTTTTCCAAATATTTTCAATCTGAGGTTGATTGAGTCAAAGACATGAAACCATTCTATGGATATGAAGGGATGGTTTTGTGTGTGCGTGCGTGCATGTGTGTGTGTGTGTGTGTGTGTGTGTGTGTGTGTACAGAGAAAGACAGAGAGACAGAAACAGAGAGGAAATAAACTGACCATGATAAAAGATCAACATGTGAGGAGTCTAGGTGAAGGATATATTAGTATTCACTGTACCATTTTCCCCAAGTTTTATGTAAGTCTAAAATTGTTTAAAAATAAAAGGTGAAAAAGGACGCAAAGAGGATGAAGTCTCAAGGCTGTAAATGCCGGTGGGTGTGATGGGTCCACTCGGAAGCTGGCTGGCCCATCAGCTCTTCACTGCCTGCGCCCACACGCTGACCTTTAGCTCCTGTGTCATTCCTGTTTTGGTGAATGGCCCTTTGTGTTTAACTTCTTTGTAGTCATATGTCTGTGATTGAAACAGAAACACAGAACATTGGAAATTGCAGATGGTGGTGGCATTGCAGAGGCAGGATTGATCACCCCAAGTTTCTGTCCCTCCATAGGGACAGACCACAGAGATGAAAGCTGGTGGCCTTGCCCATCTAGAAGTTTCCTCCATCCATCTCCTCCCTCTTTAAACTCATCTTGTTCCACTTATGTATCTGATGGTTACCAGCGTGAAGGTCTCTGAGAGCAAAGAACCTGTCTCTCTCATTGCATCCCCTGCACCTGGAACAGATCTTGGCCACCACGAACAGAAAATGACCCTAGATTCCAAGTCACCTCCCCATGGATCTCAGGCCTGGCTCCTGGCATGCCCACAAAAACACTTCTTGCTCTGGTTGGCTCTGGCTTCAACTCCAGGCAAACTGCCTTGTAGTTCTTGTTCTGCAGAGAGAAGAAGCATTAGAATTGGGGAAGATGGCATCAAGCACTTGCAAGAGGACTCCCATCAACTCTGCCTGTCTAGCTGTGCTTGAGCACCGGCTCATATTCCCCAGCACCTGATCTGCTTAGAGACAACTCAGCTCTGGTCATGTTGTCCTCATGAACACACGCCTGTCCAATCAGCAGGTGGAAAAATCAGGTGGAGAGAGAGAACGCTAAGGAAACCTCATAAAGGTGGTTTCAGGAATATAATAGGCCTTGGGGATAGACCCAGGTCTCAAGCTCAGCTGTTCTTTCTTCTTTTTTTTTTCGTACCAGAGATCAAACTCAGGTCCTTGCGCTTGTGAGGCAAGCGACAGAACCACCCAGCCCAGCTGTTCTCTCTTCTAGCTTGCCAATTTGGGTGAGTTTAGTCCCTCTGAGCCTCCCTTTCCTTGTCTATGAAATGGATGTGATGATTATATTTGAGCCTTGGACCTGCCAGTTGGAGGTGGGCATGGTGCAGGCCTGACCTGTGAGTAGTTGGAGGAGCAAGAGTGTTACAGGGAGTCCCACCCAGTTGATGCCTGTGAGCATTAACCTTGCACTCATTCCAGGCTGAGAGGCCACCTATGCTCAGAACAGAGAGCGAAACATGGAAGGTTTATTGGCACATTCTCGGTATCCTCCCTGCCCCACCTCTACTCATGGGAGCTCACAGAGGCCCCACATCATCCAGCAGTGTTCCTCCTTTACCAGGTTTGTCTTCTTCAGTTCTGCCCTCTTGGCCATGATGGAGGGAGCCAGGGTGTTCTTCAAATTCCCCACCTCCCCACAACAGCCCCCAGGACCAGCCCACTGTCCTATGCAACTTATGGGCCAAGGCGAAAGCTAGGTGACCTCCTCTCTATGTGTGGAACCGCTGAGGTCACAATGCTAATCTGGAGTGTCACCACAGCTTTGGGCCCAGGTGTCTCAGCCACTGAGATGAGGGGTTCAGGCCAGGTTTGAAAGCCACAGGCCTCCTTCCTGCAGCGGGAGAAGGCTCTCCTGGAAAGTCACACTGCTGAGGACCACAGCCTGTCACGGCCAGGGCACAAGTATGCCTCTCAAGAAGCAGTGGGTCTTTTGGAAGCAGAACTAATGCATGATGGGGAGCCTGTTGCCGCAGACAGATGGCTTCCAGGGCCCGGTTTCCATCTCTGCTGTGCTCTCCTGACATGAAACTCTACCCGCATCTCTTCTCCTGGTTCTGCTAACACAAGGAAGAGAGTTGGGGCAAGAAGCAATACGTGCACAGTGCTGCAGGTGAGAGGTCTTTGTGGGAAAAGGCTACTAAAGAAAAGGCCCTTCTGAGGGTAGCTGTAATTAATTCCTGCTCAAAATGGAGAAGCAGAGGCATACAGAATCACATGAGGCCTAAAATCATTTGAAATCTGGGTTTGTGAGCCTGATTTCTCTTTTCCTCTTTTCTTAGGCATTCTGCTCCCCTCTCCCCTCTTGTTTGGATGACATAGTTGGCACAGAAAAGGCCAAAGTGGGCTCTCTGAGAGCAGACAGCCTAGGAGTACAGGAACAGATGCAGACTGCATAACGAGTCACGTCACGCACCCACACCAGCTAACACTCCTCACTCTCAGCCTCCTCTTTCAGGCAGCTCTTTGCCTGTCCTTGCCGGAGGCCAGGCCCCTGGAACTTCCTCCAGAGCTGCTTGCTGCCTATATTTTTGATGCATTTCCAACGTGGTGATTTCCCAGCCCCCAACCCAGTGACAGCCAAGAATACCAACACACCCCAAGAAGAGAATGTGTCTGTCACCTTTCAGCTGGGAGGGAGGGTCGGGCGGTGGTGGGCTTCCCTGCCTCATTTCTAAATGTGTAAATGGGGCACTGCAATTGTTAGGTTCCTCTGACTATGTAGCTCAGACCTCCCAGATCCATTGGCCACATAGTGAGGAAAGCTCTTTCTCCTCAGGTTTCCAAGGACCCTTGACGGGGCTGGGCAGGGAACTACGGTAAAAATGACTGACTCCATATCCATATTTACCACCCCTATGAAAGCGGGCCTCTTCTCCTTCCTCTTGCTTTGGATTGAGAGCCTCATAGATCTGCAGCAAAGTGTCCTTTGCTTAACAAAGCAGTTGTTTAATGAGCTGCCTTCTAACCAAACACAGCAAATGAGCTCATGGGCCTATGTATTAGGAAAGTGGATCTAAAAGAATCAAGGTCTTGGGGCCGGGGATTTAGCTCAGTGGTTCTGGCGCCTGCCTTGCAAGTGCAAGGTCCTGAGTTCGATCCCTGGTACCAAAAAAAACAACAACAAAAAAACCCCAAAGAATCAAGGTCTCTGAAATTCAGTGTAAATACATACACACACACAATATTATCATTTGGACAGAAATTTAGCAACAGACCTACAGCTCTGGGCTTGGGCCTTCTCACTGTGTTTACTATTCATGTTTCCAAATACGTGATTGTTGCTATCAATATATTCAGGAAGGGCTAGGGAAATCCAATTGTTGAACCTGGAATAGTCATATCCTTCTTTAAGAATATTTTGCAAATATATGAGGACTAGGTTGAAGCGGCATTGTGGCATTGGGAATTGTTGTGGTATGATTTTGTTCTATGTAAGCTGTAGGCTGTTCTTCCCTGAAGAATCCCAGATACGCTTCTCTTAAACCCATTCACGGCACAGTCTATTAGTGCCAGGGAAGGAGCATGAAGACCACTATGTTCCATTGGGGTTTCAGGAAAAAGGCTGTTCATGATGATAGAGCAATACTATACAATAAGACAGGCCCTTGCCTTGCCTCCATGGGTTTTTTTTTCCCACAGAATGTTTTGTTCCAGAAATGTAACAGCTGCCCCTGCTCAATGTATCCAAATGTTTTGTAACTATTTGAACCTGGAGACCTCTCAGGAGCGACCTGTTAACTCCACCCCTCTCTGAATGTTCTGTAACTCTGCCCCTCTGCTACAGTGAGCATGCTTGCCTACCCTGTAGATCCCTCTATACGGAGGCTCTCATTTCTGGTGAAGCTCTCAGACTTCGGAGTACAAACTCCACTGAACTCACTGGCGTAATAACGGTTTTTCTCCATCTCTTCAAGGGACCACCAGATTCTCCAGTCTTCAAATTGCAATAGCCGAGACCCAGAGCTATAACGCTGAGCTGTAACACTCAGCTGTGCCTCAGAGATGTGGCTCTTGGCTGTGACACTGAGCTGTAACACTTGACTATAGCACTGAGCTATTTCACTTTGCTACAACAACGACACAAAGGAAGAGGCAGCCACGGTCTTTTCCCTCCAAGGTGATCGCATTTGGATTTCCTTTCCTTTACAAAGTTCCTGAGGTCCTTTCTGTTTCATGAAGATAATGTTGTGGAGAGGGGAGCAAAGAGGGGATTTTTAAATGACCTTAGGTCTCTGAGTTTGGCTTCTTTTGATTCAGGATACAAATTCCAGGGTCTAGCCCACTACCTATGTTAAGGCCCAGAAGAAGAGAAGGTCTTGTGTGCTTAGGGGCCTGTTTGACCACAGGGGGCTCCAGTGTTCTAAAGCCCTTTGATTAGGGTGGGATGTTTCATAAAGCTACCCAGAATCCCAACCTTGAATTGGCATGGCTCTACATTTATGCCCAAGATGATTTGTTCTTCTGACACCTTGGCAGTTTATACCCCAAAGTACTGCAGTACCTGGTGGCTGCCTTCAGCTGAAGACATTCTGTGAGGGTTTCTGGCCCCAGGGAACCGTGATATGGTTTATCTCTAGATGTCCTCCTCAAGCCTCATGTGATCATAGGTGATGCTTCTGGAAGGTGATCAGATTATGAGGGCTTATAGTGGAAGTGTGGCTAGTTGCTGGGATCTAGACTGAAGACATAGGTCCCGGTGGGATTGACCTAGAAGGGTCCCTCTCCCTTCCTGGCTCTTCCCTTTGCTCTCTGCTTCCTGTCCACCACATCATGAGCAGAATTCCTCTGTCTTGCCCCTGTGCCATCCCATCCTGCCTTGGAGCCAGCAGAGTATGGACTGAAAGCTCTACAAACTAAGAAATCAACCTCTCTTCTTTTAATTTGCAGGCGTTGGGTGTTTTGTCCCAGTGACGATGAAAGTGACTAAAACAAACCTCTTACATAAATTTTTTAGAGATTTCCTATGATTGGTTCCTGCATTGTCCTACTTGACTGATTTACAGACACCTTAGAAAGGTTTATTCTGTGCAGTATACAGATATCTTTTATTATTGGCACATTGATAATCATGCAATTTCTGATCATTTCTAAAAATAGTAAATCAGTCTTGGGCTAGAACCATAATCTCTACATTGTTTCTGTGGAAAAACGATATTTAATTTATAGCATATGAACTCTTGGTACCTTTATTTCAGGAATAAAACATAATCTGAATAGATCATTGTAACTCTCCAGCTATTTTAATACAGCTGACGATAAGTGAAAAGTCGCAGCAGAAAGTATTGTGTAAGGATTGCTGGCTTTTCTCATCATGACCTGACGGACTTCCCAAGCCTTCCAGGACCCAGGGGGAAGCCATTACTATTCCCACAACCAGAAGTTACAGAGCAGCCTGCTGTGTAAGATAATGCAAGAGCCACCCGCCACTAGCAGCTCTTCTAGCTCCTGCCAAATCCTGGCTGCTGGGGCCTCCTGACTTAGGTCTCTATCTTTGGATGGGACTCAAGGAGACAAGGGCAGTTATTTCTCTCCTTCCTCTTTCAGCCTCCCTGCTAGAAGGCTCTCTAACGGTTGCTGTCCCAGTCCCTTACAGTATCTTCTCCACCTCTGCTGACACCTTCAGAGTCCCATGAAAAAACTGAGTGACACCCTGGGCTCCATGGCCTGGAGTTGTTGGAGGACTCTGCTTCCTGTGGTGTCCAGGGAGGCTCACAGATGGGAGGGTTCCATGGGCTCATCTTGGAAATAGCCCCACTCCCTCAGATTCCTGTGGCTGGAACACAACCTAAGGCCACACCTGACCACAAAGGAGGCTGGGAAATATGGCCAACCTTCTCCAAAGAGTAAAAGGAAATAGGTTTAAGGAGCAGATAGCCAATCTCTGCCACCCTCTCCTAATGCATTTTCTCTGTTTTTATTCTCTAAGGAAGTCTCTTCCTCACAAGTAAACTTGATTTAGGGTTCTTCTGTTTTTAATGTAAAGGTGGGGGGGGGTAGCTTACAAGGTTCAAAAGGGAAACCTATACTGGACACTGATCTAGGAATAAATCTCCTATCAAATATGACCTGGAGGGCTGGGGATTTAGATCAGTGGCACCACACCTGCCTCTAAAGGGCAAGGTCCTGAGTTCGATTCCCAGTACAGCAAAAACAAAACAAAACAAAAACTGGAAGAGTTAAGATTAGGGTTAAGGACCCACTTCTTTGTCAGCTGACTGGCCAATGGGCTGGGACATTGAGATAGAGATTCTAATGGTGGTCCAGTCTGTTCAGGTCTTTTCAGAACAATAGTTTCTGTCTATCCCAGGACTCTTAGGTTGCAGAAGTCCCCTCTTTCCACCGCAGGCTCATCTCCAACAGTCACCAGAATGTGGTGTTGGTGTGAAACTTCTCCTGCTGTTCTAAGTCCTCTGAACATCACTGGGACCAGACCTAGCTGCCTGAATGTTGCCAGCCCCTTCGTGGGGGTTGAGCTCTGCTGTTGTCTTCTTCCAACAGACCTCTGATCTTAGCCCCAAGAAGCCACCTGACTTGACCCCTGCCTGAAAATGTCTACTTCAGGGTCCCACCCACCAAATATTGACAAGAACTTGGACAAAACCTTTTCAGAACCCAGAGGTAGTGGTTGCTGGATTCCTGTTGAGTCAGTTAGGCCACTGACAATTTCATACCTGGTTTACCTCTCTTTCTTGAGTACTGTGCCCTTGGAAGTCACTAGCATCTTGGAGCTGAATCCATGTTAAGACTAGTTTGGAAGGAATCTTCTTCCCTTAGTAAGGATTCTGGGGCCTGGGCTCGGGGCACAGAGTCTCTTTCCTGGAGCTATGGTGGTGATGAAGGCTAGGGAAGCTGTAGAACTAAGAATCACATGGAAAGCTGAGGTTATTGTTTAAATTAGTCTTGAGATACAGCAGCTGATGATAGATCCCAAGTTCCAATGTGGAGAGAGCCAAGGAAGAAGGCAGAGAAGAGACAGGCTGGATGCCAGCATGAGTACAGTCAGCCTGGGCAGCCTCTGGGGAACTGAGTTGTAAGTGGGAGAATATGGGTGCACCTAAGGACTTAGGATAAGTGGTTTCTAAGGGTCTGCTCTTTCCTTCTTGTTATATCTCTGAACTCTATGCAGGCTGTGGACTTTTTTCCTTTATTGGCCCTGAACATTGGCACAATGTTCACCAATAGGCTTTAGGTTTTCTAGAGCTTGAATTCAAGGGATTCCACGTTCCTTTGGAATTTAATGTCACAGTATGTGGCTGCTCTGATTTACTTTAGACTTGACAAAAATTTGAAAACATAAATCTATGTTATGGTTGGGCTCTAAAATGTTTACCCAAATACTCATTGTGTTGAAGGCTTTGTTATCAGCTTATGGGTTTTGGAGGGAATTGATTGGATTAATAATTTGTGGCATTATTGAGAGTTAATGGAAATTTCAGAGTGAGGCCTAACAGAATGAAGTGGGGTCATGATCTTTGAGACTATGTCTTGTCTCTAGCCCCTTCCTCTCTGACTTTCTCATCTTCTCTGCTTTCTGGTTGCCATAAGGTGAACAGCTTTCCTCCACCATGCCTTTCCACTGTGATGTTTCTGCCTTGCCATAGGCTTAAAAGTAGTTTAGTCAGTTGACCATGGACTAAAACCTCTGGAACTGTGAGCCCAGGTAAGACTTTCCTTCTGTAAGCTATTTATCTCAAGTATTTTGTCACAGTGATGGGAAGCTAAAACAATCCAGGGCCACTTTGATAAGTTGGATGTGAACTTAGCTTTTGTTGAGCTTCCAGTCCCTCTATGAGTAAGCTGAGCAGAGCACAGGGGCTGGCTCTCAGGGGAAGCTGAATCTGAATCCATAGTTCTTCAGCATGGTTTCGAACATTATTCCTGGAAGCCCAGCCTCTTTCTCTAGCCCTCCTAACAATTAAACCAGCTTAACATGGATACTCTCTGCAAGTAAGAACCTGACTGACAGAACTGGCTACACATTCCTGTGACTGTAGGTCTCTGGGAAGTCATGTGTGTAGCAGTAACTCCTGGTTGTGACCCACAAGGACACTTCCTATGGAAATCTTGTGGACTACTCTTTGCTTCTATCTTATGAATTCCCAGGGTTGGTCATTTTAACTGGTGATCATGGCCATGAAAAAAAGGGGTTCTGACATCTTTTTATTTTTTAAAATGATTTAAAGTGATTTTTAAAAAAATAAATGCTTTTACTTTGTCTGTAGCCAAACACTGGACAGGTCATTTTTATGGTATCAGCACATGTAGGATGGCCTTTTCCTCACAAGGGTCTGGTGTTTCCTCACCTGGTATGTTCATTCCATTTCCCCAGCAGCCCTGTTCTGTTGCTCTTGCCGTAAAGAGCCATGAGACTGAATGCCAAGTCCACCCGGGAATCTTCTCCCTTACTTCCTCCTGCTTCTCCCTCATGTGGGTCTGAGGTATTCCTGACCACGTGACAGAAAGCACTTTGAGAAGACCCCTCTGGGGCCCTGGGCTCCAACTCGAAGTGGAAGAAAAGGCATAAATAACATCATTCCGCTGGGTGGCAACAGCCTTGAAAATTGCTTCCCAGGGAAAGACAATTTAGGTTGATTCAAACACTGGAGCAAGTCACACTCATTTGCTAAATCTCTTAAACACAAATGTTAATTTATTTTAATCTAAGTATTGGCTATACCCAAGTAATTCCTTTCTTATGCCCCCATACCTCTAAAATCCGTGACATTTACAAACCTATCAGAGAACCTGGTATCCCAGGCCTGCTTGGTTCTCAGTCCCATACCTCACCGGCAGGTCCAGGCTCTGGGCCAGACTAGTTCATACTAAAGAGCTCTAGTTCAATATGCAAAGTGACAATATCCATCTTCCTGTTCAGCAGAGGTATGGTAATGTGCGCCTGTAATTGCAGCACCAAGGGAGGCTGAGGCAGGAGGATCTCAAATTGGAGTCCCACCTGGGTAATTTAATAAGACCCTGTCTCAAAATATAAAAAGGCATGGGGTGTAGCTCAGGGCCAAGGCCCTAGGTTCAACTCACCATACTGAAAAAAAAAAAATCTTTCTGTCAATTCAGTGCACATTTATCAGGAATTTACTATTCGTCAAGCATTCTATGAAGTACCAGTGACACAGGATGAAGACGACATGGCCCTGGCCTGTAGGAACTCATTGTCAGTCAGGATGAAAGCTGCACCAACACACCACTGTGACATGATGCGGTAATTTCAATGCAGCTGAGTGTCTTCCACCTCCCTCTGGGCCTCATTCCTGGCCTTGTGAGCTAACTAGAACCCTAGTCCCTCCTTAAATCTAGCGCAGGAGCCAAGAAGGGCCACACTATGCCTTGAATGCCTGACGTTGCCAGTGTCAACAAAACACACTCCCTCCCCTCACCAGTGAGCCCACTCCTCCATCCCCGGGTGAGGAGGTTCACCCTTCTGCAGCTTATCACTTGGGCCTTCCTTTGCGCCCAGAGTTCTTTGCCTATCAGAGCAGGGGTGTTTCATACCCAATTAGCCCTCTCTGACTGCTTAATCTGGCCCAAGTGCACCTTTCTCAGCCTTGTCACAATGTACCACAGGAGTGGACTTAGATCTGTGCATTCTTCAAAGCAAGAAGGCGCTCTCTGAGCTGTGTGTGCATCATACTGATATTCACCAAGTGGGAATCTTTGCAGGTAACACATTCTTGTTCTCAGAGGTCCTGTGTCTTCTTGCTGCAGGGAAGAATAGAATAGTCATAAATGTAACAAGCATTGAGTTTCATACATGTCTCTCTCAGACTTCAGTAGTCAGAGGAAAATACAAGCTCCACAGGAAGGAGACTTCGCAGGAACCCAACTGGAGTCTTACCTGGGCACCTTCTAGTCCTCCCACTGGGCACATTCTGCTTTGCTGTCTACTTGTCCTGCCTCCCACCTTCTTGACCCATCACTCCACTGGAGCACAGCTGAGCTCTCCCTCAGTCTTGGCACTTGCTCTTTCTTTTAGGGCAGTCCCAGCAGGAGGCCTGGGCTCTCAGTCCCCCATTTAGATGCTAGACCCTAGCTGTTCTGATACCAGTTCCCTCCCTCTTTTCCTTCCCACAGCTGGTGATGCCAAGGTAAATCTCCGAGGAAGAGACTTCTCTTTCTCAGCTCAGCTTTATGAATCAGCCCATTCTTGCAGCATACCTCCACCCCTCATTCATGGTGCTTCCTCTCCTGCCATCCACCTAATATGATGGAAGGTATTTTATTCCGATCTTTCTAATAGCTAATTCTTCCAGGAGGGGGAAGCCTGTTTTTCAGATTTCCTTGAACTTACCCTGTCACAGCCCCCCTGAGCTCTCTCTCAGACATGGTCTCAAGGTTAGGGCCTGGAATTCTCTGGTCCAGTGGTTTCATGGTAGACCTGCCAGGCTTCTTCCTTGCAGATTGATTCTAGAGCTGAGCACTGTGTAATGGGGTAAGTACTTTGTGAACTGGGTATAGTCCTTGCTCTCAAGGTCTCACAGTCTGGAGAAAGGAGAGCGAGATGCATGCTGAATTCAGCCTGGAGTGCCAAGTGCTGCCCTGGGAGATACTGTGCACGCCCCCAGGGTGGGGATGCCTGGCCTTTGCTGAGCATCTCTCTGGGTTTCTCTTGGCTCCTGGTGGGAAGCTGGGGGCCCAGCAAGGCCCTCCATTCAAGAGACTTGCACGAGAAGCCTAGGTGAATGGCAAACAACAAGGTTAGAGGTGTTTTCTGGGCCAGCATTGTCAGGTGGTCTTGAGAGGACCTGGCACAAAGGGGTTCCACCACTGGGATGAAGTTGTATGAGGCCATCATGCAGGACATTATTGTTGAAGCGTTAACAACTTTCTTTTTTGCCCATTCTCTCTGGGGAAGGCTGGAAGGGGTAGAAGGCAGAAGAGGCTTTGGTTCCTGGGCATAGGGAGGACTCGGCATAAGCAGGATGCTGGGGGAAGGAGAGCACAAAGGAGCTGTTTTTGTTTCCCCAGCCAGTGCTTACCCGGGAGCCACAGCCTAGGCAATGGGGGGCTCTGATGTCACTGACACAGGACTTGCTGGGGGTTGTCATCTTCCCATCTCATGCTCTCCAGTGAGCTGAGCTTGAACTGTTGCCCTGGTACTTCTTACTGTGTAGTCTTGAGCAAGTTATTTCACCTCTCTGAGCCAGAGCTTTCTCCCTTGTACAGTGGATTACTGGCAGAGGCTCACTGGTGTGGTTGTTGTGAGGATGAGGAGGAGTCTCGGACAGCCTCGCCCACACGTGCTGGCTCTGTCTTCCTCCTCAGTCCCCCTTCCCCTCTCCTCCACTCTGTCCTTAGCTCCTCTGGCCCTCAAGGACCCTGGGGTGGGGGTGGGGGGAGTGAGTAACCACCCAGGCCTCTGGTACTCTACACCCTCCCTCCACAGCAGGCAGCCTCCAGGCTGGGCCTCCTCTTGCATCTCTCTGATTATTCATTGCCCAAGCCATGTTGCCTCCTCCCAAAGTTAGAGGAGGACAGGGATACTTCTGTTCTATTCAGGCTGTATTCCTGGTACCTTGCACAGTGGCTGGTGAGCCCCAGGCACTGAGTATTTGCTTAGTAAAATCCACTGGTTTGGGTTCCAAAGAGGAGGAGAGTAGAGAGCAAGGAAGAAATGACCACGACACCAGGCACAGCCTCTACCAGAGGCAGGCAGCTTTCCACCCACAGGCTGCCAGTTCTGTGACTCTGCTGTGTGCAGCCATGCTGCGGTGGGGGCTGCTGCTATCCCTCTGCAGGGCAGGTAAGACACCACCTGGCTGGAGGAGGGTGCGTGGAGGTGCTGCTCCTGTGAGGTTCCTAGATAGCAAGGTTGGAGGGGAGACAAAGTGCAAAGAATGAATGTTCTTCAGCCTTCATTCCAAGGATGGGGAGAGAAGGACGCATCCACCGCCACCTCTCCCTGGCTGCTGCCTTGGCCCGGCCGGCCTCCTCCCCACACCCTGCTCACTCTGTCCTCACAAACCCAGGGCCCCAGGAGCAGAACCCGTTTGCTGTTCTGCAGCCCAATTTCACCCATTTGGTTCCTCACCAATGCATCTAACCAACAGAGACTTATTTGGGGCCAGGTAGTAGCTAACAGTCAGAAATAGTCCCTGACACCAACAGGCTTACAGTCTAGAGGGGTTAAAGACAGTCATCAAGGATAATTACAGAATTATGTGGGAAATGCAGTGAAGGACATCGGTCTAGGAGGCGTGAGGTAGGGAGAGGCACCCAGGGTCGTCAGATACAGCAGGGGGAAGGTTTCTCTGAGAAAGGGAGATTTGGGCAGGGAAGAAGAGCCAGAAGGAAGCCAGATGTGGCCCTGGGCCCGGAAAGTGCAGTGCTGGTGCTGGGGGGGGGGGTGCAGGGTTCTCAGCATGTGGCTTTGATGGGCCCAAGCACTGTGACAAGCCAGAAACCTGTGGGAGTGGCTCGGTGACCTTCTGACTCACTGTGGGAATGTGGTGAGACTCTGTAACAGAAAGGGCAGGACCTGCTGCAGAAGTAGAGGTCACGGAAATAGGTGGAGAGTCAGAGGGAGCTCCAGGAACTCACTGGCCATAAAACTTGGGCTTTGCTGAGTGACTGGATGCTGAGAACGAGAGAACCCGAGGGACTAACGGTAACCCTAGGCGTGAAGGGCAAGATGCACAGGTCCTCAGGTGTGGGCAGTGAGTCCAGGGTGCAGAGATCACGCAGAAGTCGTGGGGTGTGCAGGCTTTTCGCACTGCTGGGTGTGGCCCCTTAGATCCTCAGATCAACTCAGTGCGCCACAGCCAGTCAGTTAAAAATTGAAACAGTAGAGTAAATATAAAAATGAGTCACACATCCTAAGGGGAAATTTTTTCCCTACTCTTTTTCTCGGGCACAGGGATCCTCCTGCTCTTCTCAGCTACAGGCGACATCTTGGACTCTGGTGGGTATGAAGAGCATTGTTCTTTTTGGCAAGTGCCTGTCAGTCCTTCCCCATCCTCCTGGTTTGTGCATCCTTCCCCTCTGTATCTCGCCCAGTTCCCAATCTTATTTTCCTCTCCTGGCTTGAAGCTGCTTGTTTGTGGCCTAGGACCCTTGAGCACCCAGGAGCAAGGCCATCCTCCTCCCCCTGCCCCCTGCATAGGCGGGCCTGGACAGAGCAGCCTTGGCCTGGCCCTCCCTTCTGGGCCCCCACAAGGGGATGGAGTCAAGCGAGGAAGGAAGGAGACTGTGATCTGGGGGTCTGGGGCAGGTTCCTGGCAGAAGTTTTCTCCTTCCCTTTCTCCCTCTTCTCCCTCACCCCCCTTACATGCTGAGCACCTCTGATGTGCCCAGGTGGGCACTGGAATACAGTGATGAATAATAGCTTGTCCTTTGCTCCCCAATAGACCTGGTGGTAGTGAGATGAGCAAAAAAGGCCCTTTCCAGAAGAGCATTTTTTTTTTTTTTTTTTGGTACCGGGGATCGAACTTGGGTCCTTGCACTTATGCAGCAGGCAGCAAAACCACTGAGCTAAATCCCTGGCCCTCCAGAGGAGCATTTTAAAGCTTTTGATGCTGGTCCCAGTAAGAGAATCAGATCCTTGCTCTAAGGCAGGCCTGAGTATTGGTAGATTTGAAGTCTCTGGGTGATTCTAAGGGGCAGTACTATGCTGTGCATGGCTAAAGGCTTGGACCTGAGGGCCCAGCCCAGGGTTCCAGAGTCCTGCTCTCCGTGACTTGGTTTCCTTATTTGTAACAGGCATAGTCATACTTTAAGGAGTTGGAAGAATTCACTGAGCTAAAGGCACATAACGCATGCTCAGTAAACAGTATCTGCTGGTATTAAGGACTACTATCTATTGTTATTAACCACCAACAGTGACTCATTGCAGCCCACAGGAAGGGCACCTGACCCAGGATGGGACAAAGGGAAAGGGGAGGTGAGAGGGTGGGAAAATAGGGGATTGAGGGGCCAGGTGTGGATGGCCAGCCCTTCCAGGCCAAGAGAGCAGCTCATGCAAAGGCCAGGAGGCAGAGCTGGGGGCAGGCAACTGGAGGCTAGAGGTGAGGGAGACTGGGAGAGAAGAGGCCAGAGAGGCACACGCGGTGCGGCTGAAAGCTCTTGGGGATGAGGGTGGGGTGGGGAGCTGTGCTGTGACAGCCTCTCCCACCCCAACCTTGCAGTTGGCAAGCAATGGCAAAACTTTGTCTTGGGAGAGCAGGAGCTGAGCTGGGAAAGGGCCAGGTGCTAACTGCCAGCAGCAGCACCCAGACCTCGCCAACCTGAAGAGTACAAACAGCACAGATATCCTGCAGTACCAGGAGGACCGAGGCATGGATCAGCCTCCTCTTCAGAGTGCGCATTTCTGGCCTGGGCTGGTCCATCAGCTCTACCTTCACCACCCCAGTGTGGAGCAAGCTGCCTGTCTTCCAGGAAGGATGTGTGCCACCCTGTGTTCTACACTATTCATTGCCCCAGTCTGGGGGCTGCCTCCTGCACAGCACATGAGCCCTTAATTTTCTGTTGTGCTGTGTTTAGATTCATATTCTGGGCCTGACCTTCTCTCCAGGGTTGCTTTTCAAGAGCACGTGTGTGTACATGTGTGTGTGCGCGTGTGTGCCTGCGTTTGGGGGGCTTTTTCAAGAACACCTGGCTGTTGCCCTTGTGCTACAATACTTCTCTGTGGTCCTGGTTTCTATTTCTCTCTGTCCCCCTTCCCAAGACCTCATTAGAGAAATGAGTGTAAATCAGAATAGAGAGCAGAATGTTCCACCATGTCTCTTCCTTCTGCCAATTCACTTGGATGAGGAAGAAAAGGGGAAAGACAGGTTGGGGGATCCATTTGTATCCACGCAGCAATGAAAACAGAATTCAAGGTTTCTTCTCATGAAGAAAAAGGTATGGTTTATTGTCTCACTGTGGGTGGGAGAGAATGGAACATTTATCCTCTAGAACAGTGGTGGCAAACCTATGGCATGGGTGTTGTTTTTAAGACAAGAGCGGTTGATGTGAATTGTTTCTTCTAAACTAAAACTTCAGCATTCAGGTTTGATTACAGAGTTGGCACTTTGTGATAAATAAGTGGGTTTTGAGTTGTAGTTTGGGTACTCATCTCTAAAAGGTTTGCCATCCCTGCTCTAGGAGATCCACAACTTCCTGAGAAGGTAGCTCTCAGTGGGACCAACTCCTGTGAGTATTTTTGCAGGAAGTCTGGCATCAGTACTAAAGGACATGGGATGGGTGCTGGGGGGGAGCCACCCTATCTCTGTCCTTCACCTGGCCCATCTCTGCCCCTGGCAGCCATGTTACTTATCCTTGTTGGCGCTGGGATCACGTGGTGGGGGGGGTGTCTGGGTTTGAACTGTGGGTTCCCAAGGGAGTAAGATTCCCAGGGGTGGTGAGTGGGCCTGGGTCAAGGAGTCCCTGAAAAGGGCTATGTACAGGGGTCTTCCCCTGCTTTCTCTATTGTCCTAGAACTGCACAAGATGTGTCCTGAGCCTATTCACTTCAATTCTTCAGGCCCACTGGCGGTGCATGGCACCAGATCACCACCCTCCTCTGAGTCTGCCTTGCCACCACTATAATCTGTTCCATGCAGTGAACTTTAAAAAAACATAAATTGTATCACTTCCCTTCAACATATTCAGTAGGTCCTCATAGCACTTAGAATGCCATTCTTTTTTTTTTTTGGTACTGGGGATCAAACTCGGGTCCTTGCGCTTGTGTAGCAGGCAGCAAAACTGCTGAGCTAAATCCCTGGCCCTAGCACTTAGAATGCCATGCTTTTTATAACCAACCGGGCCCTACCTGACCTGTTTAGCCTCATCTCCCCAACGATGTTGACTTCTTTCTGCTGCCCCAGACCCATGGAGTTCCTTTCAACACTTGGACGTTTGTTCTCACTCTGCCTGGACTAGGCTTCATAATCTCTTTAAAAGTAAAACCCCTGCTTGTCTTATTTCTATTTTAAGGGTGTAGAATAGTGCTGACTACATAGTAGGTGCTCACTGCTGTATATATTTACTGAATAAATGTTGGAAGGAAGAAACAAGCCTATTCTCCCTTGAGCTAGGCTCTCCCAGATGCAACTCGGTAGCTCCTAGGATCTGCAGAGGATCCTGGGCAGCCTTCACCCACTGCCCCATAGCTTGAGGTGTTTCTGCTTTGCAGATCCTGCTTCACGGCACAGAATCTCCTTGGAGTCATCCCTGGAGTGGACTGCTCTTCCAAAGAAAGGTATGCATCTGCTCTACCTTTGCTTTTCCAGGAACTTGGCTTGTTTTAATTTGGGCTTACCTAGCTATCATTATCCCTGGTTCCCTTCTACTGCCCCTGCCATTGCCTGGTGGCCAGGCTTTGCTGCCCCCAAGCTGAAACCCAGGGTGGGGATTATTATTCAGATGGGCCCAGAGGAAAGGCGACTTGCTCAAGGTCTCAAACTAGAGTAGAAGCCTAGTTGCATCCTGGCACTTCTTCTCGGAGTACAAGGTGGGCATTACCTCTTCATAGCCCAGGTGCTCGCCGTCCACCTAGAGGGGGGTGGTTTTTCACTCAAAAATTCCCCCCTGGATCTTACTGTCATGTTTTTAAAAAAATTCTTCATTCTGATATAGAGAAATTCTACATCAGTAGGCTTTGTAGAGTTGGTCCTTTGCATGTTATGGAATATGGATGCTAGAGTGAAATGGCATAGGCTTCCAAGGCCAGCAGACCTGTGATCGAATCTCATTTTCATACTTAATAGAGCATGGGTTTGGGCAATTCATCACCTCATTTAGCCTCCTTTTCTTCATCTCTGAGATGAGATTAATAATATCTACTTCTCAGGATTATAGTGAGAATTTAAAAGATGATGTAGGCCACATGCTTAGCTCAAGACTGGCACATGCCAGGTGCTTAACACAGAGTAGAAAAATCAGTTTAGAGAGGGAAAATGTTAGGGAACTATTAGGCAAATCAGAGAGCTTGAGAGGCCCTATTCGAATGTGATGATGTGACGCCCAATTCTACAGTGCTAGCTTCATCCAGAACTCCAGAACTGATACCTTAGGTGGAGCCCCACACTCACATCTTTCCCAAACTTCCACTACTCAGTGTTTCAGATGCACACACTGCAAATGAGACCGGCCTGGCAGTGGGCAGCTGGTCCTACTTCGGGCAGGCAGGGACTGGAGGTAGTGGCTGGGGGAGGCTGATATCTTACCTCTGACCTGAGCTCTGCCGGGAGCAGTGCCCATGGGGATGGGCTTGCTCTGCCTCCTGCCTGCCATGTCTGTACTGAACCAGGCTTACCTCTTCTCTCTGGCTCTGCTCTATTATCCTCAATCCTGGAAGCTCCCTAGAGCCACTGTGGCAGACACTGCCCCTGGAAATCACAAATAAGCCTGACTCCAAACAAGGATTATGTTATTTCTCATAACCTCCCATTTATTAAGCACTACTTATTTGTGCTAAACTATTTACACACATGGTTTCATGTAATCCTGACCTTAGGTACCATTATTATCCCCACCGGACAGATGAAGAAATTGAGAGTTAAACATAACTTGTAAGACTGTATCACTATAAGAAGAGCCCTTAGTTATTTAGTCTGCCTATAAAATTGTGGTTTTGATAAAGCCTAACATGAGAGAACTGGGGACAAGGGCCCAGGTCAGACCAGAGCTCTGTACCAGGGACAGTGAAGCTGGGCTCACAGATCCAGAACCTCAGGCTATGGTCTCCATGTTCTTTGCTTCTAGCTGAGGTTCTTATTGGTGCAGAAACCTTCGTGCAATTTGAAGAAAGAATGACGTGGTTGTCAGCTCTGAAGTACTGTCGTAACCACTACACTGACCTGGCCGACCTGCAGAGAGTGACTAAGGAAAACAAGGCGAACTTGAAGGACCTCACCAATGAGACAGAGGCCTGGATTGGCCTCTACATCAATGCAAACTCCAGGACTCTAACGTGGTTCAGCGACTTGGGTGACCACATACCCTCCTGGTTGGAGAAGCCTAAGTTCAGCAGAGGACTGTGTGCAGGGCTCCGCACCTATTCACACTTTGGCCCCAAGGTTTATACAGTTGTTTGCTCTTCCCGACAACCTTTCATCTGCTTCTATGGTGAGTGAGAGTCCACTCCTGCTGGTGCTCAGCTCCTGGTGGCTAAAATAAGATGGGAAGTGGATTTATTTGGAAGCAGGACACACTAAGGATAGATCGAAGGAAGCACTTCTGGGCTTTGGGGATAACCGAATTCTGGAGCAGACTTCTGGGATCTTGGAAGTTATTTTAATTCTGAGGATCTTTAAAGACTAGAACAGACAACATCCAATCTTAGGTCATTAGCAATTAGCAACAGCAATTAGTTACTGGACAAGAAATGAGTAAGAGCCTGGGCTTTAGATTGGTCAGACTTTACCACTTTCTAGAAACAATGGCCAGTATCTCTAAGCCTGCTTTTCCTTATCTGAGAATATATCTAACAAAGGATTGATGATACCCACCTCAGGATGGTTTGAAGGCTGAACAAGAGAATGAATGTAAAGGGCCTAGCAGAGACCTGGCATAGATTAACACCCAACAAATACCAGTTATTATCATTGTTATGGTCACCACAAAGGTGCTGTAACCAGAGGCAAGCCGAGTTACTCCTGATCTTGTGTATAATATGCCTCCTCAGCGGCAGGTTCCACCGTCTCACCCTTTGCTTCCTCTCCTCTCTCCCTGTCCCTCTCCGGGCCCCTCCAGCTCCCCTCCTCATCCCTTGCCCCTCTATGCTTCCCTCTCCTCCTCCTTCCTTTCTCTCTCATTACAGCTTTACTGAGATATAATCCATGTATCTTAAAAGTCACCCTTCTAAAGTGTACAATCCAGGGATTTTAGTATGTACACAACCATCACACAGTCTAAATTTAGGACATTTTTATTACCCTTAAATTCCTTATCCATTAGCGGTGGCTCCATATGTTCCCTCTGGCGACCACTGATCTATTTTTATATATATTTTTTTGTACCGGGGATCAAACTCGGGTCCTTGCGCTTGCGGGACAGGCGGTGGAACCACTGAGCTAAATCCCTGGACCTGATCTACTTTTTATCTCTGTGGTTTTGTCTATTCTTGGCTGTTTCTTTCTGTGTTTTGGGTTTGATGAGAATTTTGACTGAATCTCTTGAAGAGCTGCTTTGAGGCTTGAAGATGTGAAACTACGCATCACTGTGACTGGCACACAGTGTGCATTAACTGTTCCCTCCTGAGTTTGGCTGCTGTGATGGGAGGCTGACCCCTCGTACTCTGTGTGAGTTCTCACAAGCTGACAGCCTGTTAGGTTTGACAGACTTTGTCCTCACACTGTATTTTCTTGCAGACTCTTCCATTGGAAATTGGAAGTCAGCAGCAATGCCTCCACTCCTTAATGCTTTCTCCTCCAAAGTTACTCCTTCCTCAGAAGTTACGGTGGGGACCACTCCCAGGCTAAGTATAGGTGCTTTGAGCCTGTTCTTGCCTGGATCTGGGGTCTTCAGGGCCCAAGGGAGCGGAGAGGTGGCCGGAATGGAGCAGGCTAGGGTAGGGCCCATAGGACCCTCCTAGAAGGGACACTAAGTGGCCAGCAATGAAGTGAGCCAACTGAATGGCAATCAAAGGCCACTCAGGCAGACGATTCTCTTTATTCCACACATTGCTGGGTCAGCCCATGGTAGGGGGAGGAGGATTTGTTCACTCTCAGCCTCTCTTCTCCTTGAATTGAGACTCTGAGCTTGCGGCTCCAGTGCCAGGACACCCAGGAGAGGGGGTGCAGTGTCTCCAGTGATATGATGAGGGCATGACCTGGGTGACAGGAAGCAAGATGGCTGAGTAGCGCTCCTGGGAAAAAGTCATCAGAGTGGCCTTTGAGGTTGAGCATCCAGAGAGGGAAGCATAATAGAGTTTCCTGTCAAAGACCCTTCTAACTGTAGATGCCTCTGGGAGGACAGCAGATGAGGGGTAAGTTGCAGGGACTTCGTGTAGGGACATGGCTGTGAATGGCAAGTGACAGCATCCTGATAGCATTTTAAATTCCTGAAACATCTTTATAGCTATCACCTCAATTTGCTTCCCGAGAGTTCTGACGTTAACTAGGATAATTGAGAGCAAAATCACAGTTCTCCTGGCCTCCTTACAGATTCCTAATCAGACAAAGACATTATTGCCTTTATTGAGGACACCAAGAAGTTAGACTTGATGGAGGTTGATAGAGTTTTGCTAATTCACCTATTGAAAAATATGGCTGGAATTTGTGCTATGTAATCAGGACTGGGATGTAAAGAAAAGGGCCTGTTCTGAAGGAGCTCACAGCCAGCTGGGAATAGGTGGGTGCTTCCTGTAGTCACAGGCATGGAGAAGGGAGTGTCTAACCCCATGGCTGTTCCAAGCCCACTGGCTACCCGGGCAGCCTAATGGGTTTGGGAGGTCCTCCTTGCACATTGCTGTCTTTCCTAGGTAGGTTCCGGCAGGCATGGCTATTCTGTGCTGGGCTGGCTATACAAGGAGTTCTGTGCACTGTGCCACTCTAGCCTGCTTTGGGACCTTGGCAGAGCTTTTGGGCACAGCAGACCCCACAGAAGTTGTCTCTCTTGTAATAGGGACCAGCACTGGCTCCATGGGATGCTTCATGGGGCCTGGTTTCTGCAGCATGGTCAGTGAGCCTGGAGTCCACAGAGCTTAGCCTCCAAACCTGTGACCTTCACATTTCTACCTCTGCAGGCTCTACAGCTCCCCAACCCCAAGGCATGGCCTCACCAAGCCCTCCAACAAACCACACTTCCCCGAGGGCTATCTCAGTTCCCCAGGAAGGGTTCAGGACTCCACTGATCACTGCCCAGAGTACATCTGTCAATGTCACGCTCTGGACACTTGCTTCCACTGGCACTGCATTTTGGGGCAGCTCTTCTGTTCCATGGGAAATGGTCAAGACCTCTCTGGCCACCACTGTGAGCCCTACTGCAGACCTTGCACCTCAGGGGGGACCCTGTTATCCAAGGCAGGCTCGTGACTCCGCAGGAGGTAGGTGTGGGCCCCTCGCTGGGCTCCACCTGTGACGCTTCGGCTAATTTCTGGGTTGGCAGTGACCCCTGCACCCTCCACATCCAGGAGGCTCCGCAGCTTTGAGGCTCTGGGAACCAAAGGAGGAGCTTCAGAGGCCCCCATCTCAGGGAACCCAGCTGAGCCCCAGAGAATGGCTATGCAATCTGTGTTCACAGTCAGGAGACAGACCACTCTCAAGCGCCACTGTGAGCCAGCCAGGAACTAAAACAGGTGCCTGCCTGTGGCACTAGGGGCTGGGCACTCCAGCTAGGGGTGTAGCTCCTCTCCTGGGCTTTGGTGGAAGTTCACGCCACTCTGTCCATTTTACTTTTAAGAGTAGAAGGCCGACAGCCAAGAATTGGAATGCTGAGCCCACTACTTACTGTGTGGCCTTAGGCAAGTTTCATAACCTCTCTGAATCTCATCTCTCTCATCTTTAAACTGAAGAAAATGTTAGCTTTATGAGGTACCTCTCAGTTCTTGGATCTGCAGATAATAAATGGTAGTTATTACCATATTAATCTTTTTTTTTTGGTACTGGGGATCGAACTCGGGTCCTCGCGCTTGCAAGGCAGGCGGCAAAACCACTGAGCTAAATCCCCGGCCCATTACCATATTAATCTTAGTTTACAACTGACATATTTAATGTCTTACCTTTTTATACCTCTGTTCTTACCTTACTAAATAGATGGGGCTAGCCCCATTATTTTATTTTACATGCTTGTGAATGATTATCATCATGAATTATCAGGATGCGATTCTCAAATGACAGGGGCATTTTTTTTCTTTTTCTCTCATACCTAGAATGGTGTTTTGCACATTGGTAGGTGATTTAATTTTTTCTGAGTACCTGTTTCAAAAAAGACACTGAACTATGGATACCAAGAGAAGCAGAACTTGTTTCCTGTTTTTAAAAGAGGGTGGTCTAATAGGAACAGATCCTGACAACTTGGACAGCTTGGTATGTGCTGCACTGAAGTATGAACCAAGAGCTGAGGCAGGAAAGTTATTTATTCATTCTGCCTAGAAGATGGTAACTGGACAGAAAGTTTAATGGAGAATTTCACTTGCAGGAAATACTAAGGTAGTTCTTTCTTGCAGAGGGAATAGCACTGGCCAAGACAAATGGGCATCAAAGCGTGACTTGTTTGGGATCAAGCAGTCTGACGTAGCTGGGGTCTAGGTCACATTTTGGTGAAATGGATGGACTGGGGCCAAATTCTGAAGGACTAGATTGTGCAGTCAGTGGAGCCACCAGAGGGTTTTAGCAAGTGAGCAAAATGCTCAGATCTGTCGTTTCCAGAAGCAAGGTGGTCATAATGACATGGGACAGTGCTTGCATTAGGATGCTAAATGCAAAAAAACCCCCCAAAACAGAAAAAACCCCGAAACAAACAAAAAACCCCCATGAATCAACATTATACATAGAAGGAGTCACAATAACATTGCAAGGAAACATCAACCAATGGTTAGAAAAAAGTTTAGAAGGAAATGTGTGAAAATGTTAACAATGGTTATAGTCAGGGAAGGAGAAAAGAGGTGTACCCCTGCTTTAGTGTTTCTGAATTTTACATACGCTCACTAACTGAAGAAATTCACAGTACTTTGGATGGGGAAAGAGGACATGTGCAGAGGCTTCTGGGCAGGAGGGGAGACAGAAAATGTGTGGGGAAGACTTTGCACAGCTTGGATGAAAGGCACTAAGGCCTGTTCTGGGTGAGTGGTGTGATGAGGGTGTGAGGGAGCTGACCTGGTATGACCCACAAGTGACACAAAGCCAAGAGACACCAGTACCAATGGATTTCTTAAAACATGCTCAACTTTGTTCGTTAAATCACAGAAATGCAAATTCAAAAGGTGCATTAAACATTTATTTTAAAATGTTTTTCACCTACCAGTTTGGCAAAGATTTGAAAGGGCAGCAATGCTGAGAATGTGGAAAACACAGGGATTCCCCAGCACAGTTGGCACGTAAACCAGTGCTGCCACTGAAGCAAAGCAGTTTTGATATAAGCATGTTTTTTCCTATAGACATTCTACCCTTAGAGATTAAGGAAATGAGTTCAAGGCACACACCCTCCACACACAGCGTTGTTTGTTGTGGCCTTATTATAGTGAAAAATTAGAATCAATCTAATGTCTACTGAAAGTAGATTGGTTAATAAGTTAGTCAATGAAATACTAAGAAACCTTTAAGGAGAATAAAGCAGAGCTTTATGCCTTCAAATTAAAAAATCTAATGCGTGAAGGAGATTCTATAGGAAACTGTTAATATTGGTTGCCCCTGGGTTGGGGAAAGGATACTTTTGGGTACCTACTTTATACTAATATACCACACAATAACATGGCTGTGCTCATATTTGAAAAAGAAATGAAGATATCTGCAGGGCACTGATAGGACTTTGGTGACTGAACACGAGAACAGCTGAGGATGCCTGGGTCTCTCCCTGCAGTGCCTCAGTGCGTGGCCAGCCGTACAGAGGGACGGGTCACTCCCAGGGAGGAGACTGAGCGTGGTTTAGAGTGCTGTCACTAGAGCTGCTGAAGGTCACTGGGTGCACGATGGGGGCTCTATGTAGTGGGCAGAAAACAAGAGCACTGGGCCTTGTGGGGTATGGACTACTGCAACAAAATATTTAGTTCTGAGGACAGACCTCATAATATTGTTTAAGCCCCACAAATCCTGATGCTGGAGTACCTTTGGAAAGGTGATGGTCTGGGTACAGGGGGCTGTGGGGTGTGGCATGGACTGGCAGGAACTGACCTGCCACTCAGGGTAGCTTCTGCAGCAGCTGTGTGCACAGCACCGCTGCCCTCATCTCTTTTGGCTCACAGGCAGTACCTGGTGTCAGACCTCCTTACTCCTGGCCATATTTTCAATAACTCCATTATTATTCTCTCCTGTAGCTATGGCTAGTTCAGAGGCTGACACTGATACAAGAGATTCAGCTACTACCACTACCACTATCACCACTACTACAACTCAGGTCCAACATTTAAGCTCATCACACCCAGTGTCTAAAGAAAAAACATCAGCATCTCAATCAGGTAACTGCTTGTTTACCAAGTTCCTAACCTAACAGCAGAGCAGTTGAATCTAGTCAGTCCTTAGCCGAGGGCCTGCTTGTAAAAGACAGCATGAAAGGTTGGCAACAAGAATAGGAATGAGAAAGTGGATTCTAGTTTAAGCCCTGGGACTATTGTGAAAGCTTGGGGATGTTTCCTTACTTCTTAGTCTCTATTTCTCATCTTTGAAAGGGGCCAGTAAAAACAACCTTGCTTACAGCACAGGGCTGAGAGTTAATGATAATTGTGCAAAGGTCCATTATAAACCAGAACATGTACACAAATATAACATAGTGCTACCATGAGGCTGTAGTTCCTGTGATTGTGCTTGGCTCACAGTTGAAGGCTGAACTTATTTATAGGCTCAGAGAACTTCTGTGGGATTTTCTGGGGCAGAAAGCCCAAGGAGAGGTGAATATTTCAGTACACGTGATCATCCTCTTAACAGATTTAAAAGGAAGAAGAAAAATGCAGAAGAGATGGAAATAATGTCCTGGTGGCTGTGGGAGGAAAACCAGCATTACTCCCAAACACGAGTTTTCTTTTTCTGCCACTAATTGGTTGGTCCTAATTATAGCTAAACAGACTCGTCAGTAGTGTCAGTAGTCTCCCTCTTCTTTGTGAAATCCTGTCCCCACGTGACATCTATGGTATCCAACGGGTCCTCCTAACTGCCAAGGGCTTGAAGTTCCAAGTGGCAATAAGCCATTTCCCCTTGAGCCAGGTAGCACTTTCTTTTTCAGAGTACTCTTTTGGAATCCTGAAGGCAGATTTTACCATTTCAACTCTCATGGATCCAGAAGAGATGAAAGAACAATTTTTAAGAGAGGTAAGACTTCTGCCTTCTTCGAATCTTGATCGGTCAGATGACTTGCCAATGCAAGGCAATATATCAAAAACAGTTAACATTAAGAAAAAAGCTTTGGAAAATTAGTTTATGTTGTTCTGCTATCACTTTGGCTCATAGTGACAGGTCGGTTATGTGTCAGGATGCTTTCCAATCTTTTTCTAGCCTCTCCAACATTTTTCCTAAGGTCTTTTTTTCTTTTTTCAGTCAAGAGAGCACAGTTAGAAGGACTTGAGTTTGGCTTTCCATTTATTCTCTATATGGCCTGGACAAGTAATTTAGTCTGAGTCTCAGTTTCCTCATGAAATAGGAATGATGATACATAATTCATATGGCCGCTATTATGATTAAATTTTGTATTCCATACAAAGGTCTAGCAAACTGTCTGGCACAGTTGGTACTCAATAAACATTAGATGTTATTATTACTATCGACATTACTACTATGGTGTTCTGAATTTACATTTATTCTTGACCCCTTTTCCTCCATGTACTTTGAAAAAGAAATGGAAATATCTGTAGGGCACTGACAGGACTTTGGCGACTGAACATGAGAGCAGCTGAGGATGCCTGGGTCTCGGTATTGTGGGATAGGAGATTGTTTCTAACCACTGAGAGAAAAGCCTCAAACTGATTACTGAACATGTGCTAAGGGCACTGTTCTGAACTACATCAGACAATAATCATAGGATGTTAGAGCTAGAGAGTAGCCTATAGGTCATTGAGCCAACATAATTTTACATATAAGGAGACAAATTAGCATATGTGAATAAAGCTGAAGAATTAGCATCCAGGTAGAAGTGCACAAGATCAATTTTCTAGAAAGATAGTGTGGGTGGACTCACATGTAGAAAGTTGCCCAGGGTGGACTCAAACTTAATTCTCCTGCCACAGCCTCCCAGGGCACTGGGATTATAGGCATGTGCCATCATGCACACTATAGGTAGTGTCCTCACTGAAGTTTTGGACACCAAACCAGAAGCCATCTACCTTCTATTTAAAATTAGAACCAATGGGAAAACAAGTTAAAATGGGAAATTTCATTTTTTGGTCAACTTTGTTGGATTGTACCTAGTCCATAAGTGGGATGACCATGTTAAAGGACAGAATCTCTACCTCACAGATTTAAAGAATGGAGTTGTCCTAGTCATTGTAGCACATGCCTGTAATCCAGCTATTTGGGAGGATGAAGTAGGAGGATCAGGAGTTTGAGCACAACCCAGGCATCTTAGTGAGACTTTGTGTCAGAATAAAATAGAAAAGGGTTGGGAGTATAGCTCAGTGGTAGAGTGCTTGCCTAGCATGCACAGGGTCTTGGGTTCCACTGCAAGCATTATAAAATAAAATAAAATAGAAAATAAAAAGGAACTGGTAAGGACAAAGTATATGTGTTGGAAGGTTAGGTATATATTACTAGTTTAGGTAGCAGTTAAAATATCAAGTAGAAGGCAAGGAAATACCTATAGCCAACTTTTCCCAGTTTCAGGTATAGAGACAAAAAACATTGTAAAAGACACATGGTGCTCAAGGGCTTGATTTAGACTGGTGGTTCTCAACCCTGGGTTAAGTTAGAATCCTCTAGAGATATTTAAGGAAAAATAGTAAACAAACAAACAACCTCCTGCCCCCAACAAAAAACCCAGCCTGGCCTCAGTCCTGAGACGCTCTCCTTAACTATTCAGTGGTGGAGCCCAGGAACCACCCCACTTCTCTCTTTTGTACTCCCCAGGGACTCTGATGAACCATCAAGATTGAGAATCACTGATGTGGTCATTTGTTTTATTTCCCTTTGCTTTTTTCCCTAACAAAACTGATTTATGCACTTTCCCACTGGTGTAGGTGCTAATGACAAAAGACAGACATCTAGAGGGAGGCTAAGAAAAATACAGCGCATGAGTGTACCTAAAGGATACGGATGGACCTAAAGGGTGTGTGAGAATAATTAAGAGCTAAGAGAAGCACAGGGTCATAAGACAGCATCAGTAGTTTTTGTTTTTCTTTTTGTGGTGCTGGGGATTGATCTCAAGGTCTTACACTTTACCACTGAGCTGCACCATCAGCCTTTTTTCTCTTTTTGATGTTTCAGATCCAAGAAGTCTTAAAGCTTATAGTAGGTCATGAGCAATTCAGACTGAAATGGGTTGGTTTTGAAGAGAACAAAAAGTAGCACACGTCTACTGATTTGCAGTTTCTCTTTTACTCAGTCTTCTCTGGATTTTCAGTAAGTTTTGGTTAATTCCTAAAAGAACAGGATTAGAAATAACTTTGAGATATGCCAGAAGGCACAGACCTACAACTAGCACCAAAGCAAACTACAGGTGAAACTTGCATTCTTGGATTTTATGAAATGAAACAGATAAGCAGAAGATGGCAGTATGTGGGAGCAAAAACCTCGAGAGTGACAAACAAGGACAAAAATCTGAACCAGACAACAAAAATTCTGAAAACCCCCATAAATCTGTCTGAGGAATATAAGAGAGCACAGTAGTGGTTTAGAAAGGTAAATGGGGCCACATTTCCAGTGCTGGGGATTGAATCATGGGGTTCATGTATGCTACGCAAGTGCTCCACTACTGAGCTGTATCTGCAGCCCCACAACACATATGTGTTAATGCTAACTACTGGTCCTGAATCTAAGTAATATTTTTACCTGTAAATCGATAATTCTAAGGCTTGCTGTTCTTAATATTACAAAATATCAGAGTAATATTCTTGCATACATGTTCTTTTTTTCCTGTGTCCTAGGCACCCAGATGCATACTAGAAGGTAGCACATGTCAAATACAGTAGCAACTTTAGTCTGAAATGTTTAAAGTTAAAGTTTATTTGTATTCTTTGTAGGAATATCAATAAAAGACCTCAAACGTATGTATATCTGTACATGTACAAGAACTGTCAAAAATTATTCACAGAACAAAAATAAATCTTCTTTAGAACAAACCCAGGTAATGTAATGCAGATATGGATCTCACATATGGAACAATCTAAGTGCTACTTAGCACAAAAATATGGCTTTAAAAATAAAATAAAATCTTGGGATTTCTTATTCTAAGGTGTATTTCTCTTTCTTGAAATAAAAAATAAATTATTTAGAGTTATCACTGTAAAATAGTCATGTGTATTAACATACTCTTATTAAGGCCCTGGAGATGAAAAACAAAATAAATTGAGAAGGTAAATTCCTCACAGGTGTGATCCACGTAAATGTGATGCTATCAGCTTGAGTTGACTTTGATATAACTAAGAAAGGTCAAAGCACCAGTCAAAATTTAACCTTTACTGTTTAGCTTTTTTGGAGGATACTGTTCATTAAATCAATATTTGACCTATTGGTGAATTGCAACTTGAAACTTTTTCCCTTGGGAGTTTGGAAATGACAGACTCCCAAACAGGATGGTTATACATATTTATGGCCTATACAGAATATGGAAACTCCCAAAACACAGCTTCTGTGGAAACCCTGTTCCCCAAAAGATAAATCTGGTTTTAAATCCCAAACAAAAAATTCCTTAGGGGAAAATGAGGGTATTTGAAAGAAAAGTAACAACCGAGTAGGAAATTAAAATGCATGCTGAAATATGACCCAAACCTACCACTTTCCTTGGGTGGTTCACCGCATTTGTCAAGTCTGACTGGGTTGGTTAATCAAACACCTGAGGATTAACTGATCAGAAACCAAAGCTACTTCTTCCTGTATCCTACTCTGATCAGTGATGTTCAACTTTATTTCTATAACTTCCTGTGGTATTGATGATGATATCTAGCGTTCTTGAGACAATATCAAAACAAATCAAGTTCAAGTCACTTTAACTTATATATACATATAACACATATAGTGCATTCTTAGGAGAGAACAACTGTCATAACATCTAATAAATGAGAGCATATCTAAAAAATTCAAGAAAGTTTGGGAATCACTGTTCTATAAAATACATTAACATTCAGAAAAAGGAAGCTCTAGGAATTGTGTATTTTCTGTGAGCATGGACATGTTATCCATAGAAACTATATATTACTGGGAGTTGAACCCAGGGCCACACATCACCAGTGATTTTTTGAGACAGGGTCTCATTAAGTTGCCTAGGCTAGACTCAAGCTTGTGATCCTCCTGCCTCGGCCTTCCAGAGAGCTGGGATTACAGGTGTGCATCACCACACCCAGTTTACATCTATGTCTTTTAAAAGTGGGCAAGGGATAGAAATCTCCCTGTCTCCTTGAACCTCCAGGCTACCGAGAAGACTGCTATGTCTGCTTCTGGATTGCATGTCATCCTTGGTTCTTCCTCATAAGATATTTATTCTATCTCATGCAAATTTCATCAGTTTTGTTCTTTCAAAACTCAAGAGCATTCGTAACTGGGTCATGACAATAAGAAAATGCTGCTTGAACTAATAATAATCATTCAAACATGAAAAGAGATTCTATTTAAAAATTCAACACCTCAACATCTCTTGCCTCTAGGAAACTAGTATAAATGTTTTCAATGGACATATGGATAAAAAAATACTACCCCAGTTAAGAGGTGGGAAGGCAACTATTTATTGCTGGGGCGAGCAGGGGCTTCCCTACTGGACTTGGGAAAAAAAGGGGAATGGAGAAAAGAAAGTCCATTAGGATTTCTAAACTCTGAAGGAGAGGGTGGCCTCCAAAAGTGTAGCTGAAAATGCAGTGAAGCTGTGGTATGAGCTCTGGTTTCTGGGTCTGACCCAATGTGGAGTCTTGACTGGTGTCAAGCCTGGGGCTCAGCTACACTTCGGCAGACTCATGGGACTAGGGTAGTCCTGAAGGGGGCTGCTTCGCTCAGCTCAGTCCCATAACCAGACTTCTCAGGAACTCCAAACTGGAAATGACTAGCAGTAAATCTGGACAAAAAAACCCCACAAATACTAATATAAACTCACTTGATGGCAGTCGTCTTTTTCTGGGACTTCCAAATAAGAACTCTATTCCCAATCTGGTGTACTTCTGAGGACACAGTGAAGCCATACAGAACCATCCACCCATAAGAAATGCAGCAGGTAGGGTAATACTGAAAAGCTATGCTTCTAAAGTTAAGCTGGGGCTCAAGGGTATAAAATTAGTGTTTAACAGCAGTCTTAGACAGAAAATCTTACTTTTTCATACACTCTTTCCAACCCCATGAAAGAGAAAGGGGAAAGCACATCAGTCAGAAAGCTAATTTTGACCAACTTGATAGTAAGTGAAAAGAGCAAAAAGCTACAACAGTGTGATGACCTCATTTTGCCACATTGTACTTTCCAAAGGACTGTCTCCTAGTTGGAAACTACCTTGGTGACAATGCCTGGAACATAGGTAAGGGCTCAAGTGCTTGTTATGGTAACCTAGTTATAATCGCTCCTCTGTCATGGCTTTTATTGCAGAGACTTGGAATAATGATGGCCTGATGGAAATGTAACTTTTTACTGCTTTGCCCTGGAAATCTTATTTTTCAGTGATATAAAAGGGAACCATAAAGCTCTTTTCCTGAACCCTACCAACACTGTCCTTCTTAACAGCCAAGTCTGATTATTACCTAGATAAGCACTTCATAAGCACTTCATCTGAATTCTAAATTCCATTCAACCCTGGTTTACCCCCACTCCATAATGTGGTGATATACTGAGGGAAACTGCAAGTGCAAGACATGGCTATCTTAACCAATCAGCTTCTCTTCAATCATGTACCTCCTGCCAACAAAACAAATGTATGTACATATTTGGACTGAAGAAAAGCCAATTAAGCAACACTTCCATAAAAACTGTCACCTATTGCTGCCTTCATACTTAAAAAACCTTTCATAATAAACTCTATAGATTACAGCATATTTTAAAAAATGACAGGAGTAGATTCAAAGAATTCATCTAAAATTTAACGTCTGGTAACAATTCTGAACTTTTCTAACCCTCTTACTTCTTTTTATTATTTTACTTTCTTCTCTTCATTCAAGATAACTTGACAGCATAGGGCTGAATAATGTTTCCAAATGTTTCATCTTCCAATGCAGACTGCCCTCTGCGGGGGCTGCACAATGCTAAGAAGATTTGATACATTCATCAAAAACATACTTGATTTTTTTGGTGTCTCCTTCAAAGCCCCAGTATAATTTTATCAGCCCTCTAGAGTCCATAGCCAATGCTTGAAAAACTTCCACACCTCAATGCAAGACATCACCTACATTACATACTTAAGGCCATTGAAACTGACAATTCATAGGTTTTCTATGGTACAATTGCAGGCTTTAAAAAAGAATGAATTAAACTTCGCTAGAGCTGAGAATAAGCCACAAAGAACAGATCTATGTTTACGTCCTTTCTCACTCAACTAACACAAAATGTATTTCAGAACTGGTAACCTTTCTTCCTATTAAATAATTTTGACTGTGTGCCCTCAGTTTGGAGGGAAGAGATAAGCATTTATAAAATAACTACTAAGTGGGGGGGCCAGGGATTTAGCTCAGTGGTTCTGAAGCCTGCCTTCCAAGCGGAAGGACCCGAGTTCGATCCCCGGTACCAAAAAACAAACAAACAAACAAACAAACAAACAAAAAACTACTAAGGGTCAAAAAATACAGTGTAGTGTCAAAACGGTTAGGCATGAAGTCTATAGATCTTCTAAGTACAATGAGAAACTCCTATTTTGGATCACTGGTAGAAATGGGCTGTTATGATGAAAAAAATATATATATATTTTGGTACCAGGGATCGAACTTGGGACCCTAATGAAAAATATTTTAAAAAGTTGTGGGTTGGGGGCTTTGATGAGGTTGCTTAAATGCAAGGTTCAACAAAATATCCATCTGAGAGAGGGCAGAGCTCAATAGCAGAAATGCAAGCCTAGAACTCGGTATAAAGGAGCTCTTGGTATCTATGCCTGGGCTTCATCCTAAAAAGGGCATTATATATGTTCTTCCCTTATGCAGAACAACTCACACAAGCAGAAACAGTCCATAGATATGACTCCCTAAGGTCTTTTTTCTCTCTTCTCCCTTTACTTTTTAAAAGAAATTTCTTAAAGTTTGTAATTTAAAATAAACAACTCACTTGAGAAATACTGTTGCTGTCCCAATATAAAAGAATTGCTTAGGTCTTGCTTAAAGAGATTCAAGACCCTTTTAACATTGTGTCTGTGTATCTGACAGCACAGAAGGCATGAATGTTTCCTATTTGTGCAGTTATATGTACATATGTGTGAATATATATGTATATATACTTATATATATATAATGTCCATTTAACATGTAACATTCTAGACTTCTGGTAATGAAGGTTGCATCCCAGTTGACATTTTATACCTCTGGAGAAAAATTCTTTTCCATGACTTTTTCTGTCTTATAATAAGCCATGGATGATAAATGGGTCATTATTGCCAAATCTACTGAAAGTGTGGGAACAACAATAGGAATGTGCCATCCTGACACAGTTTTCCTTTCTTTTTTTAAACAAGACTTAGCATCACTTTTAAGAGTGATGTTTCAGGTCTGGCTTTCCTTTCTAAATTATTCTGAGGGAATAAGAGGAAGAAGCAGCAGTTTAGAAGTTAAATATTGGAGATAAAATTACCCTGCCCATAGTACAATGGATAAAATCTTATCCCAAACAAAAAATATACCTTAAAATTACAAAAAAATTAATAGGAAATATTCAGAGATTTCTAGTAGTTGTTGTTAGCCCTTTTTTTGTGTGGAAGAAAGAGTGTTTATTTCAGATGGCTTATGAATAGCATATTTGAATAATCTCTCCTGGGGAGAGTAAATCCTGTTGGTGATGACTGCTCCCACCATGGGCAGTGGATGTATGAAGATAAAGACTGTATGTAGAGACACACATATTTATACCTTAGTAAACTCTAGAGGAAAAAGAACACCCTTTATTACAACAGGAGTGAAAATTTAAAAAAAAACCCGTATCTAAAACAGATCTGCTGTAGACAGAAAATACACATATCGACAGGAGTTCACTAGACATCACTCCTAAAGTCCAGTTTTGATGCAACCACTTTTATCTCTGTCCCCTGAAAACAGTGAATCCCCAGCTTAGGCTAGTTGTCTGACCAGAATCTATCTTAGTTGATCAATGCTGTAAACTATTATTTTGTACGGATCTTGGTATCTGCATGTATTCCTAAAGGGCAAGGGGATCAGAATGGGGCTTTTAAACTGGCAGATGAATCCCTGAAAAAATTCATTCTAACAATATTCTATTGCACTCCATGTGCTTCTATTAGATAGATACTTGGTCTCTACCTACTGAACCCACAGGCTCATCTCTCACTCACACCTAGTTACAGTTCCTACTTTTCCTCCTATAACAACTGCAGTGCTTTCAACAAGAGCAAAACAATAATAAAAATAGTAATAATTAAAAAGGCAATCTACATTATTAACTTCCTTTTGGTATATTACAGTGGTATTTTCTGTACATGGCCCAGAACTAAGTTCCCTATGTACATATAGACCGGGGTAAGCTTGACCTTGGAAGTCATCACTTATGCCCTGAAAGACAAGTTCCTTTCTTCACTTGAGTTTCTCACCACATTGCCATTTTGAAGTAGCAACATTCTGTAAACCTGGAGGGGCTGAGTAAAGGGTGGGGAACAGGAGAGCGGGTAAATTTCCTTCTGTCTCCTTCCACAGTCTATATTCACAAAGTCTGTCAGCAGCTGCTGTTTTTGAATTCACCATTCTCCGTGATGGAAAGCTTGGTGGGATTGGTGGGGGAGATGCCATTGCGGACCTGCATGCTGTACCGCTCCTTCACTTGGGTCAGCGCGCTCATCAGTCTGGTGTTGGCAGAATCCAGGGACACGATCCGTTTTTCCTATAACATACCAACCATGGCTTTACTCAGGTTATACGGAAGAAATAATACCCTTTCTTTACTGAATGACCTAGTCCAATGCTTTCTCTCACACAGCGGTATGCATGGTGCTTCCCAAACAAATGGAACGTCTCTGCCTCTTTCTGCACACTGGTTAGGTTCCACTTCCCTTCTTTTTTCTCTATTTTCCTCCTCTATTTTCTCTCTCTTTTTCCTTTCAGCATAGCAGGACTTGTTGTCATAATCTCTTAGAACATCAGACTGCTTTGTACAAGTGACACCACATGTTACTTCAGACTATGCAACAGTAGTGTCAAGATGCCTTATTCTATTAAGTGCTTTTGGTCAAAGTTGAACATGAAAATTAGGTGGCAAAGAAAGAAGCACCAGAGGTTTCATTTCACAGAAGAGAAGTGCATGTGATCTATGGGTTCTTATTCCCAAAAGAGGGCATAACAGTCACATTTAGAAAGGATTCACATTGTGCTCAAAATTAAAACAATACATGGTGGCAGTTTAAAATCACCAGTAAGGTGAGGATGCAAGAGCAAGAGGAGATAAAAGCAGCCAAAAGCTCAGACTGAGGAGTTATTTGAATATGGGGAGGGAGATGTGGCTTGAAAGGGGATGCTATAAACATAACACATGAGAACAAATAGAGAACACAGGCTCCTAGACCCATTCCAGCTCAGTTACTCCAGGAAAGGTGTCAAATAAGAATAGTTTCATTTTGCTTTTGAGTGTCTGTAAAAAGAAAATGCTTTAGAATCACATTTTGGAAGCAAAGCTTGTTGAAAACACACACACACACACAGAGAAAATAAACCAAGGGGGAAAAAGGCCCCACAAAAGTTAATCTAAAGGAAAGTAGGACCAGCTTACTTAAAAAAAAAATCATCCCATCAAAACATCAGTCTCACAACCATCTAGACAGACACTCAAGTTTTGGCAGCTATGTAATCATCTGAATTTTTCAGAAAATAAGCTTACACAGAGAAGTATAGTCTTTATCTATGCTCATGAAATTAAAAAGAAAACAGTCTATGAGGAACAATCCTAAAGCTAACAGGAGTTTTCCTGCCCTGGTAAGGGTCAGTCATGGTATGGTTCACAGACGAGGCATAAGGGCTGGGGGCCGAGGGTTGAAGCTGACCCTCAATGTTAAAGCAGCAGTTGCAGAGGCTGCCGGGTAGCAAGAACTGCTCTACAAGAACAAAAAGTCCCAGGAGCGTGCAGAGGGGGAGTCTGGGTAAAACCACTGACAATGAGGGCACCCAGTAACCTCGTGGTCTCTTGCTCTGCTGTGGGGTGGGGTCTGTATGGCAGCTGTGTGGTGGCTACAATTTCAAAAGTATGAAAACAAAATAAAACAAAAAAACTAGCTTTTTATTATTATTATCCCTTTAAAAAATTTCTTTCCTTGATAGAAAACTCAGGTGATAAGAGACACAAAATCTTCATTATTAACTAGTCACTAATCTCAGATTTTAAAAAAATTTTAATTTTGGGACGACTTCTTGTTTTTTTTGGTACAGGGAATGAACTTGGGACCCTGCACTTGGGGAGCAAGCGGCGGAACCACTGAGCTAAATGCCCGGCCCACAACTTCTTGTTTTAAGGTCAGGGAAAACTTAAAAAGAGAAATTCTGTAAGGCTTTAAAAAAATTACTATTTTAAAAAAATTATAGCCAGTGAGGTTTACTAGGAAAACAAGTGTAGATCGTTTAAAAGTCAACAGATAGGGGCTGGGGATTTAGCTCAGCTCAGAGGCACTGTGCCTGTCTTGAAAGTGCAAGGCCCTGAGTTCAATCCCCAGTACCGGGGCGGGGGGGGGGTAGTCAGTAGGTAAGAGCTGGCCAGTGATTACCAGAAAACAAGAGGGAAGTGCCACATATAACCCCTCCCCCTAAAGGTTAACAATGATCTCTAAACAGAACAGCTGCTAATTTTTGAAATGATTAAAGAGATTAAAGAGAAGATATTTTAATATTGGGATGAATGACAAGGTCTCAATACCAAGAAAAGCAGGATTCTCCAGGGTTCATTGCAAAATTCAAGCATTCCCAAAACTTTACTTGATTCTTAAAGGTTCTGAAAGACAGCTAAGAATGATTGTTAATTACTTATTGGCTACAAAGGTAACAAGTGAAAACAAGCAAAACCCTATTAGACAACTGAAAGTTTCCAGGTAGAGAAACTTCTTTTGTAGTTTCCCTATTGCCAATCTCTCAAGATACAACAAAAAGTAAAAAAAAACAAATCAAATCAAATAGAATACTTGAAAGTCAAATTTAGCTGGTACAAGATGCGCTTTGACATTTTGATTCTGCCTGTACTAGAAAGCCAAGCAATCTAATTCATGCCTGACAGGAAGGATGTCAGCATGGGGAGTGGCAGGAGCTGGAATGTGTAGGAGGCCAGTGCACTGGGCCAGGGCTGGGAACTGCTCAGCTAGAGACCGGACAGGGTTTACTTGCCTGTTTGAATAATCTCATTTCCATTTATGACCTGTAATTTAACACAGTGGAGATATCACTTGCAACAGTAACTAGGCAGCTGCTTTGCTTCTTATAGGAGGAAGCCCTTCTCTGTTCTCCATCTGAGTCACATGGAGAGATTCTGGGAGTCACAGTGTCCCCTCATGCTTGGGAGTGAAAGGTGGCCCATTTCTTGGTCTGATATCTAAGCAAAGATTTCTTAGTCCATCATTAGGATCTTTGTGTCTGAGCTACAAGGTTTAGGACTGGTGATTCTGCCACTCAATCATGTAGTGCTCATCCTTTTACAGTTCTAGTTAGAAAGTGGCTGTCACAGGCCTGTGCATGAACTCACTCAAGGAGAGGGAGGGGTTGAATTCAGAGACAAGCCTTTCCTGTGGGAGTACAGGATATATGAATCTTAGAGAGATGAAAAACATGCACAGGACACCTGGATGTTAGTGTTTTGAGGAAAGAGAAGTGCTAGGTATAACTCTAGCACACAGAAGACAACTGCATTCATTTTAGAAACATGTTTTACCAACAGTGGCACCAACATACCTGTCAGGTATATTAAAAGTATGAGTTACTCTCTGGGAAGCTTTCACCCCCAAACATCATTCTAATAAATGATGCCAGATGGCTGTTCTATTCCATCAGACACTTAAGAGATAAGATTTATTCTTTTTTTTTTTGGTACCAGGGATTGAAGTCAGGACCTTGCACTCGCAAGGCAGGCGGTGGGACCACTGAACTAAATCCCTGGCCTGGTAAGATTTATTCTTACAAAAGAAAGGATCAAATATAAGTCATTCATTACAAAAGATGCCAAAGGATGTTAAAAGTCTTTTGCTTTAATAAGATTTTAATGTATCACTCAGACAACAGCTGGGATCGAGAAATCTTCCTTTTAAGGATACCATAATTTTAAATGTCTTTAGTGTTTATAATTTGTGCTATACATGGTATAGTGGTTTTCAAATGTGGTCTAGTGTACTCTCCAAGTATTCTTTAGGGACCCATAGTCTCTATAGTAATGTCTGTGTTTGAGTGGGTAATTTATCACATTTAACCAAATCTAGGACATTTTGACTCATTAGTTGAGAATGGTCTTTGTTGTTGAGTGGTCACTGGGAGTAAGAAGATATTGGTCTATGGAAGGTGCCTTGCTTCTATTAAAATATCCAGAGGAGCAAACTATTTGAAAACTATTGCCTTGAGGTATGTATCCAGAATATTAACCAGTTCAGTCAGATTGTAAGTCTAAAACTGAATGCTTTAAGGTAGCATTTCCCCAAACCCTGTACATGAAACCCCAGAGCTTCTGATCCCTGAGAAATCAGATTTCCTCCTTGGCTTTCTCCTTCTGTGACTATGACTTCTGCTTCATACCAATTTACCCTGCCCTAAATGTCAAAATAAGGGGCAGGCAGAGTAGAAACCTTCAGAAGCTAACGATCAGGCTGCCTTGTCAGTCAACATTTACACAGCCATGTCTGTGGCACAGCTGAGTTCTCTCTGTTGAAGACTGACTGCATTACATCAGCTGAAGTATATTAAAAAGGTCTGTTTTATCTCTCCTGGTGTGGTGATTAACAAAAATCTCCCTGCTTTATATTACTATGTTGAAATTCTGAAGGCGAAAACTTATCAGCACTAGTTTCCCTGATTCAACTGCCTTCTCTTTATCCAGGATGTTTTCTTAAACCTCTGGGATGCACTTTTAGAGTATGCATAGCAAGATGGCCTTGTCTCTACTACCCATCCTCCCCTTACTCACTCTGGGTACACCCAGAAAGATTTTTTAAAAAGGATCAGGTAAGGCAAGGACAGAAGATCTTTTTTCTGGATCTTCTAGAATCTATAGAGTTCAGGAGTCAAAATATTTTGGGAGCTACCCTGATAAGAGAGCATCACAGTTCACACCTGACTTCCAAGTCTACTGTGCTTGATGGAGTACAAAGCCCACAAAACATTCTGCCCGTGGCTATGCTTTCAGCCTCCTAATTCCTTTGGAAAATAAAACCCATACCACATTGATGCTGTAAAGAAAGCAGACTGACTGTTAAATGCATGTTTAATACTGGAGGTGCTAAAATATATTGGGTACCGGCTGGTATGTAGAGAAGGAACATTTATGCATATGAATTCTTGTTCTCCTTTTTATTTTATACCTTAAGATTGAGAAATGCAAACTTGACTAGTCATCTTCAAAGAGGTGATAAACATTCAGTGGCTCTAGGAGTTACTATCAGAACCGCACCTGCCTTTTGTTACTTCACTCTAGGAAATATAATCACATTTTGGACTTATAAAAAGAAGCCAGAGACATTTCTTGCCTCCTGGAGTTTGCTCTGATCACTTATGTGTTCCTCTGAGGTGCCTGTGGTAGCCATAATCTCACTGGTGTCACAAGTATAAGTTATTGCAAGCAGAGGCCTAGGTTTTGATTTTATCAACCTTTTCTTAAAAAGTTTTATCCAAAGAGGCTCCCTAAGCACAGCACCAAGGGCAGGCAAGCACATTCCAAGCAGCAGTGCCAGAACCTAAGCCAAAAGGATAACAGGAAAGGTACCTTCTATAATCTTGTCTCTCCCCTGAAATTTCAGTACTATCTGAGGCTAGAAGTTGATGGCAGTGGACGTGACTGACAAGACCGTGAACAGCACAGCCAAGCAATGGTCAGTAGAGGTCACAGGCCAGACACATGCAGTGTACTTTTCACAGTTACCCCTTTGAGAATGGTCTCCTTTCCACACGGAAAGAAGCAAACCCCATCATGCAGCAGTAGGTTGACATTTGTCAAACAACTGTGCTAAACACTCTAATACTTGGTTGGATTAACAGACTTGTCATCAGTGAAAGAAAGGAAAAATAATGGAGGGCACATAGAAATTCATTTAGTCTTCAAAAGGTAATGCCAAGAACTTTTCAATGCCTCATTTTCTAGTGCCTACTTTGTCATTTGCATGGGTGGGAAGTCAGAAAAAAATGGTTATTAAAAACAAGTGACTTCTACTAGATTCAGAGGCTGCTTACCTGGGCATCAATTATTTTCTGCTTTGCATCAATAACTGCTTGCATCTCAGCATGATCCTTCTTCAGTTCCTCTTCCACAGCCATTAGCCTAGAATGTGGCAGGAAGGAGTTATCAACATTTTCATATAGGGGTAGGTAAGTGGAGAACAAGAAATTTAAAACTCATATTACAAGATTTCTAGTCTTTCCTAATGAGAAAACTATAACAATCTTTTCTTTCTTCTCTCTGACCTTCAAAGAAGACTGCCATGGTTAATTTCTCTACATGTGACTAGATTTCATCTCCTTTGGAGCAGTATTTCTCTACTCATTTTCTCTTTTTCCTCTATCAGATTCCTCCCTCACCATATCTTAACTTCACTGTAAAACATCAAGCCAACCAACAAAAACAAACCATTACCTTCTTAATATCAAGTACACAGGAATCACGTTCTCTTCCTTTGCACAGCTAAGTTTCTTCAGAGTACTTATAAGTACTAGTAGGCCTAATCTATTCCTCATCCACTGCTCATAACCCACTATGCTTAATCCCTCTTTTCTATCCAATGGCTCAGCAGACTCCTTCTGTCCTCCATTTACAGGACTTGTGGTTTCGAGTAGACTGCCTGGGCTCAAATCATGGTGGACCACTGTGTGATCTTGGGCAAGAGTCTTAATTTGTTGCCAGCTTTTTAATCTATGAGAATGACAATCATGTCTATCTCAGAGGGTGAGGTGAAGACAAACAAATTAATATTTGTAAAGTGCTTAGAAAAGTGCCTGGCCAATAGTGAGTGCTACATAAGTGTAAGACCTCTCTCTTTCTTATTCTCCCTTAGTTGGCAGCAGAGGTCTCTTTTGGTCCTCTGGCCCTAAAGACATATAGTAAAACCCCTTTCTGCATTTCTGGACTAGTTTTGGAAGTTCAAGTAAGTTTTGGACACTGGTTACTTAGATTTTTAAAACCCAGTTCTTTTCTATAACTTCTCAAATGAGCCACTAGGCCCCTACCTTTTTTGAATTACGATTCTACAAAAAGCCTCCCTTTATCTTCATAAGAGATGCAGTAGGTTTCATATTTAAGATACTTGGAGAGATATAGTCAGTACATTTGTAGTGAGTATCACAGAGTATATGCAGGGGTGAAAATGGTTTCTGTTGACCTTCCTTTAAGAGTGTTTGAATTATCTCCCCACCTCTTTATGCGCTTTTCTTTTTTTGAGACAGGGTCTCGTGTGTAGTCCAGACTGGCCTTGAACTGTGGCAGTCCTTTTGGCTCAGCCTCCAAGTGCTGGGATTACAGGCGTGCACCACTAGGCCCAGCTCTTTATACCTCTTAACAAGCCCACGCCTGCCACCGTGTAGCCCTCTAACCTGCTGATGATGCTTTTCATCTGGCTGTCTTTCTCTTCCTGTTGCCTGCGCAGCCGCTCCTCACTGTCCTCCAGCCGGGCCTTGTATTCCAGCAGCAGCTTCTGCATCTGCTGCTCCTGTACCAGCAGCCGCCGTTCATATTCCTCCAGCCGCCGGCTGGACACTCTCAGGCGCTCCTTCAGTTTGCTAATTTCTTGTTCATACTAGAGCAAAGGAGAAGAGGAACAATGACAGGGAGAGACTGGTTTTACAAATTGGTGATTTATGGTTTTTTTGGTACCGAGGATCAAACTCAGGACCTTGTGCTTATGAGGCAGGCGTGGTGCCAACTGAGCTACATCCCTGGCCGTGACTTATTTTTTAATGGAAGAAACTCCAAGCAAAGTGGCTAGATGCTGTCTGAATTGCCATTCCCTTTGTTGTTGTTAGGGTTATTTAAAATGATGAACTGGCACAAAATGTTAATGAAGCATTGCCCCCTTCTAAAATTACATTTTAAATGTTTACTTGGCATTCCAAATTCTGCAGATTTATGTACCTCTCTCCATATGAAATTACCAGGTGCTATATGCCATATCCAATCTGTAATGGTTATCAAATGGGAGGGAGGAAAAAAGATCAAGCATTTAGAAGCCCAACAAATGACTTAAAATAAGCCAAAAGCTGTTTACCATGGAATAGATTTCTGTATCATCCACTGCACTGTAGGATCTCTAACATTATCATCCCTCATCAGACTGCCATTCCTTTATTCTACTAGAAGCAGCATTTTGGAGAACAAGCAACATTTCTATGATGTTAAGCCACTAAATCAGTAAACAGAATTTTATGGCAGAGTAGGCTACTACTGCTTTCTCCCTAACTACAAAAGTGTAAAAGGTCGTAAAGCACTAAGAAAAAGCTTACAAATTCTCTAGAGCTGATTAATATTGCCTCTTGGTCAATTTTTGTGAAATGGCTCACCTACCTAATTTGGTACTTCTTGCCAGAATATATGTCTATAGTCTCACTAAGAAGTTTTACATAAATTCAGTAATGCAACTGGTTATATGGCCCTTTCTTGCTGTGGATGGGGTCTGAGTGCAATGAAATGTCAAATTTTCTAGGTGAGGTAGGAGGCATAAGTTTTCCTATGAATTCATAGTCTACTTACATTCATCAGTAAGGAATGATAAATCTGTATAGTACTTTAAAAATGCAATTTTATAGAATATTATCCCATTTAATTTGACCAGACAACTAGCCACTGCTAATCCAACCTTGTGGTGCTAAATTATGCTCATTAATCCAGAAAGTCAAGGGTGAAAGTTTTTATGACAGTTCTAAAGAGCTAGACTGCATTAATAAGCATAATTTAGGGTTATGTTAATAAGTTAGTTATTTGGTTGTCAATTAAATGTGATAATACACATGATATCAAGATTATTGTCTGCCGAGGATTTAGCTGAGTGGTTCCGTCGCCTGCCTCGCAAGCACAAGGACCCGAGTTCGATCCCCAGTACCAAAACAAAAAAAAAAACAACACAAAAAAAACCCAAGATTATTGTTTGATCCTTTTTAATATGAATTTTCTAACAACAAACTCAAGCAATAGATGATATATTTTAAAGAATTATTTATAGAATTCTACATTCTTTATCTAAAAAGACAAAAAGTAAAACACTCCAAGTCAAATTATCACCAAGATATAGAGAGTAAGTCTAGTACTAAGGTAATTTTGACCTTATAAATATTAACAAGAGATTTATATAAATATAACTATTTACCTAAAGTGACTAGAAATGAGTAGCAGAGTGTCTCCAATATTAAGGCAATCTTTATGAAAAAAGTATTTAATCTTCATCCCCTATAGTATGATGGGTATTTTCTACATATGTTCACATGGAGATGCTACTGAACTACTGTACACAGACATAAATATGATGGTTAACATAGAGGTAGAGGGAAAGATAGGGGCAGGTGGACATGACGTTCTTGGCTTGATAACCCTTTTAGCGGCCTATCACTTGTGGGGGCAAAAAAGTCAATACAGACAGGCAAGGTTCTACCTTCTCAGCATGCTTAGCTTCATCTTGATTTTGCTCAGTGTCTTCTACATCCTCTTCATATTGTCCATTGTTTAGAACCCAGGCTGCTGTCCTCTCTACTGGGGACATTGTGGCAGAGTCCACAGGTGACTGAACCTACATGAGGAATCGTTATTAGCATTTCTTAAAACAGCTCATCCACTCATTACGTTTCACAAAGACAGCTATTTTTGGAAGACGTGATAGTGATCCTTTAATCTTCTATCAAATGCTCTTAACTTTAGTATTTTATTAATTAAAGGGATAGAGAAAAGAATATCCCTTTGTATACATCACACCCAAGAACCATCCTTTTTCTCCTTCTAAAGAAAGCCAAGGCCTTAAAATTATTAATTTTCTTAGTGGTTCAAATGCTGTTAGGTACCAAACTACCCAGTAAGATTAAGAGGATGACAGAGTGAGAGAAAGAATGCATAAATTGATGGTTGACTGCCCACATGGGCAAATGTCTTTTGAACCGAGAGATGATCACAGACCAAAGAACCGATTAATGCTATGTAAACTCAAAGGGTGATATTTAGATATCAGAATGCCAAATACTTAGTTTTCACATTAACCATTTAGAAAAAGAGGACAAGTGATACCGATCATTTTTAGAGACCACTGACTTCCTAGTAAGTTAAGATCACTCAGGAATCTATGTTTTAAACCAGAAAAAAATGATGGATGCTGTACAGTCTAAGGCATATTTCTATCTAGTTAGTATAACAGGGACACAGAGGCTAGGTCTGCAGATGCCCAGTTGGTAACTAAAAGCAGGATAAAGCCTGGCACCTTTGCTTTCATTTTATGTATGTTTTATTACCCTAAAAGTTTGAATCAGCTGCTCAGCTCTGTATGTAGGCATGTTACTTACTTAAGGAGCGTCTGTCTGCAAACTGCCACTACAAGGTTTATTAGCTCTTAATTAACCTTACCTTTCTCATCCCCATTCCAGACTGAGAACACCAAGTTAGAGCACTGAGGCATTTTCAAGATTTGCAGGAATACTGAGGTTCCAGCTTTTACAACATCTGCTGCAGACCTCCTACATGGTGCCTAGAAGTCTCCAGTCAAAGCCTGGACTCCACAGAAGACTTCAGTCTGCAGTCTAAGCCTGTAGTCACCTTGGATTCCAGGAACAGGAGAGCTTCACAGAAAGATCACCCCTAGCAGGGCCAGTCGTCTCACAGGAATTGGATTGCTCCCTCAAACCATAAGCACTTTTCTGGAGCCACCTCACAGAACCAAACCTGAGATAATGATCAACCAGACCAGGATTACCTACACTGCCAGCTACGCAAAACCTCAGCTAGAAAAAGCCCTAACCTTTGTCTTTGTTCCCCTTTTCTATAAAACTTCAAAGTGTCGGTCAACCCCCCAAGAAGACAGATCTTGAATCTTTTTTTCTGTCCCTTCTTCATGGTCAGGCTGAACAATGCTCTTCTCCTGCACTTCATTACTCTTGTCTCCTTGACTGGCATTTTAGGACCACTAGCTGAGCCTGGCCTGTTGAGATCCCTGGAGCTGGGACTTTTGCCTTAAGACTCCAGTAAATTTAGGACAGCCAGCTAATTGTTCCTTTCTTAACAGATATACAGTGTTAAGAATTCTGGCCTTGAGGAGCAACTCTAACATTTAGGAGTTAAATCACTTAATCTCTTAAATACCATGTTTCTAGTCTACTGAAGACCACCACTGCCTATCCTGACTGTCTCCCATCTCAGAGCGAGTGGTGAGGATCGAGTAAGACAGTTTATGTGAGAGTTCTCTGGCAACTGCACAGTGCTATAGAGAGGTCTTACTGTCAGTCTTACCATATTTATGTTTCAAAAATTAGAACTGGATATTACAGTTTAGGCTATTGAACACTAGTGCTTTCTCCACAAACAATGTTAGGAATATACTTTTCTCCCCCTTGGGCTGGGAGAAACACAAAGCTTCCTATGTGAATTAGTCTTTTATAGTAAAAATAAATTTTTATTTTGAGAACCAATGACTACTCCATAATTTTATAACTGAAGAGAATTTTCTCTCTCATGCAGAGCTATACAGCTTAAGAATCTTTACATCATTTCAGACTAGAATTAAACTTTAAATAAGCATTTTAAAAGAAGGGGTATTTTGATGACAATGAGAATTAGAGTGGATGAAAAAACTGCAGAGACTAAAAAGTTATCAAAGATGAGTTGGGAGAGACTTTAAAACTATATACATAAATGTAGTATGAGGGTACTTCTTAAAGTTTGGAAGAAGAATCTGGTATAGATCACTTACAAACATTTCATAGATACATAAGAAAGGCTTCATCCCTAATTATGGATGTGTGTAGTTTATATAAGTAGATACTTACAAGTAACTGTGAATGATCCTGTACACATTCTTTCTCTAAAGCCACAATTTTAAAACTATATATTAAATTTCAGTACTTTTAGAACTTAAAAAATTCTCTCTCCCTCTCTACTATAGTTGTAGGTATGTTTCATTTATGTGTGTATAAATTCTTGTCATATCCATATATCACTAATATATTAACTTACTGCTTTTAAAATCTTTTTTTTTTTTTTTTGGTACCAGGGATCGAACTTGGGACCTTGCGCTTGCAAGGCAGGTGGCAGAACCGCTGAGCTAAATCCCCGGCCCTAAAATAACTTTTGGGTTAGCTAAGCCCTTGAGCTAAGCAATATCAGTAAAATCATAAGTTTGTTATTCCACATATATTTTATATAGTTATATATTAATGATTATATATTTTTCTAATATGTATCAAAATAATTACATGATTAATAATTGTGTACACTAATTTTGAATATCACCCTTGGGAAAAGTGGGCTATAGGATAGGATATAACATCACTCATAAAAGGAAGATAACTATTCACATCAAAAGTTGTACGAGAAAAGAGATACCATGAGAAAGGACTTTGTAAACAAAAGGCACCTTACACACAGACACACATGACCGGACACACATGACCGTTCTCCCTCTGGTGGATTTTAAAAGCAGAGCATAGTGAATTGTTTTTGGGTTAGTAAAGGGCAATAGTAACAAGCGTTCAGGTTTTTATTTGATATATGTGAACTGGGAAGGCAAAAGAATGTAGTGATGAGTCTTAAAAAAATTAATAACAGGTCAATATTTAAAGGAGACAAATGCCTTTTTAGTTTTAGTCTTACCACTCTAGCACAAAAGGCACAGGAAAGCTGCTTTATTGTGAAACCAGAATTTTCTATTCAATAGCAGTTTGAGATAAAATAGCTATTAAAACTAATAACAACTGCATCGGGGATTTAGCTCAGTGGCTCCACCACCCATCTCACAACCGCAAGGTCCTGAGTTCGATCCCCGTGTACAAACAAAACCAAAAAAACACAAAAAACAAACTAATAGCAACTTTTACTATTAGGAATTCATTACTTCAAGTTAATAGCTCTCTGCTTTATGTAGTTAGTAAGTTGTTGCTTGAATGAACTTTCTTTCCCTGTCACTTGTTACAGGTAACTTTATTGAGTGTCTATAAATGCTCTGCAAACTAATGGTACTCCTAAGAACACACAAAGGAAATAAAACATTTGCCTTTGAAAGCATATTAAAAACAACAATGACAAAAACATCTTGGAGGTAATTGAGGCTTTAATTGTTAAATGAGAAGATGTAAAAACAAGGGTTGGTTCATTCCATTGATGATGCTGTATTTTCAGAATGACAGATACAATGTCCAATGAATTATGAGAGATCGTATAATGGAAACTAGACATTTTAGGGTCTATTCCTATTTTATTGGTTGAATATTATTTCAGCAACTTCTTGATATGTCCTGGGACTTTGCTTGGCAAAACAGTAAGTAGTCAAAATAAAACTGACAAAAAAATCAGACATAATTATTCCTTCTATTCATGATAAAGCCTTTACAAAATTTATAAAGGAACCAGAAATTGATACTGAATAAATCAGAAGTGGCTACAGAAGTGATATTCATTTCAAAATTACTGTTATATGCTTTTATACAGTATTAAAACTGTACACTATCTTTCACACTTTTCTTTTGGTCTTATATGTGCTGGTCTTATTTACCAACTAGAGCGTCAATCTAATGGGACCACATCAAACAGTTCTTCTGAATGGTAGTGACTAGTTAAATTTATAATAGATACTCAAAAATTATTTATTTATTAATAGTCTAGGTTCTAGAATTCATTATTAAAGTTCATTACTAAAAGAAGGACACTGTTTTTCTTCTAGTCCTCTGGAAGTGCATCAAAGGCTTTTCCTTAGGTGGTGTTCTATCTCTTTCATAAGCTGGATATATAACAGAAATTATAATCTCTAGCTTACAGTCAAAGAGGAAAGAGGCTGGTAAGTGGTTCAGAACCTGTCTTGCTTAGCTATAGCCTTAGGAAGAGAATTTATACCACTGACTTTCAAAAGAATAATTAAAGAAAATGCAGGATGAAAAAGACAAGAAGAAAAGTAGCAGGAGTTTCCATTAGGAATAGCTTCCTTCTGAGATGAATCCATATAGGGATTCCCTCGGAAAAATAATAATGATTTAGGGCAAAGGGCTTGACATAGCAGTTTTAAAAAAAAAATATTTATTGGTATATTTTAGGTATACAATATGTTTACATTTATCATTGGGTGCTTGTACCTGAACATGATATATCCTGGTTATTATTTTTCCCCCATTACCTGTGCACCCTTCACCCCCTCCACCCTTCCCTATTTACATAGACTTTGTTTCCATTTTTTTTCTTTTCTCATAATTTTTCCTTTCCCTTCTTCCCTT